ACGCACCCAAGCAAATTCAGGCATTCCACTCCTGACACTCTGCAGCTCCACATCGGATTGCGGCCGCAATATTCGAGGAACTGATCTGGAAACCGAAACATGTGTTCACCACCCCAACCATCAGTAAGACCACCAAGATCCACGAACCGGAGGAAGGTGCCGATCCATCCAACACACCCGATGATGGCAAAAACGAGCATGGCAACCAGGCCAGCCTGTTCAGCAGGGGAGAGGCGGTCCCAAATGGGGAGCCGAGGAATGATGTTGTTGAAAGTGATGTTGGACATTAGGAAGTGGTGATGTCGTCAAGTGGAATTGACGAATTCTAGAGGGGGGTGATGTTATGGTCCGGTCCGTTCCAAACACTCACTTTTTCTGACATCTTATCTAAACACGCAAGACGCGTCCATTACTAATTCTCATTACAATACCTTAGTAAGATCCTCACATATAACACATGTCCGCAGTACATTACCAAGCACCTCATGGAATCGGTGCGCGTTCCATGGAAAGACAGCTGTAGTAGGCAATGTAAGGGGACACTCCTATTTCCTCTCCTTTTCTTCATCCCATGGACTCTTACCTACATTTCCTTTGTTCCCCTTTGTTCCTTTTCGCTTCCTTTCCTTTCCACTTCCTTTCCGCCCACTCCTTTCGCATCCGAGCCACGTCCGGTGACTCCGGAGTCTTCCCGCACTTCGGACTCGCTCAGACTCGCTTCGGACACTTTGGACTCGCTCGGACTCGTCTATACTCTTTGGGGCTCGTCCGGGTTACCTCTATCCTCTTTCCCCACTTCGTTACCCTTCGCCCTTACTTCCCCAAGTCACTGGCACGACTCCTGTGCATTTACCCTCCACTTCATTATCACATGGTTCCTTGTACCTTGTGATATTCGCTCGGACTTGTGGCTGGTGTACTGTACAGTTATCCTGCATTCCTCTCACGCTACTACAGTATATACTTCACCTCCTAGCATGGAGAATCCTTATCCTGTTCTCTTTGGATTCTCCCTCTGCTAGGTGAGCAGCCCTCTCATGTATTGTAGTTAGTCTTATTCATTATCTTTGGATTCTCCCTCTGCTAGGCTCGCGCTGTGCGGCCATCTTGAGGTTGCCCTTACAGGCAAGTAGTATTACATGAGGACTATGCATATACTTTAGTATTTAATCACCAATGACATACCAGAGAACACTAGCTCGTTCTCTTGGAATATCCACTAGCAATAGTGAGAACTAAGTCAACTAAGCTACTCCATCTATTCTTTGGTTTTAGTATTCTTGTAGGAGCCACGTTAGTCTCTGACTAGTGTTGCCCTAACATTCTTGATTGTGACTTCGCCGTACGTGTTGACCGACGGAATGCCCAACCAGGTTGAGTCCTGGTCTGGGCGCCCTCGGATGTTGGAAGTGGCAGTGTTGGTGAGAAATATGAGCTCATGCGTAGCAGGGGCCATGGCGGGAAGGAAAGACTGGGGCAGGCAATGGTAGATCTGCTGTATAAGTACTCACCTGTAGAATCAGGTGAGGTCAGCTGTAGATAGCATGGTGTAGGATGTACATCAGTGCTCCAGCTAACGAGTAGAACATGTGTCATTTGACGCAAGCAAGTGTGTTTGAAGAGCGTGAGTTTTTTGAAGCGAGCAAGCATGTGTGTTTGAATTCTGAAGCAAGCATGTACGGCAAGTAAGCGGACAAGGTGGGGAACGTCATGTGTACATGGTAACGAAGTCCTCGTTCTGATAGTGGAGGCTTTGAACAGGAGGAAAGGTGTCTGGATTTGATGGATACGTAGATAGATAGCGCTATGTGAATGAAGTCCCTAACATGATGCACTTGATAAACCATGCCCCGATCTACCTTGAGTAAACTTTGAAGCAAGGATCTAAGAGGCCAGGAAAGCTTGCTGCAGGTGGCAATGGCATCATTGGCAGGAGGGGAGGAATGGGAGACCTTCTTTCTGAGAAGTTGAATCTTGAGTGTACTCGTAGTCGGTGTTGTGATCAAGGTGGCTGGCAGAAATAACTCCGCTCTGGGTTTCAGGTTAACGAAAGATCCCTTCACCAAGGGCTTCCTGTCATACTAGCTCGGGGGTTTTCAATTGAATGGCCTCGAGGTAACAGAGGGCAGTCTGTAGCACGCAGACAGACATCTGTGATTGCTTGAGAACCTTGTGGACAAACCCATTGATTGGCACCAAGCCATGCTGAGTGTTGGCACTAGCAGAAGTGTTGGTGATATGGTTGTCGTCTGATTCTTGAGATGTTGGAGGAGGACTCAAGTGTTAAGAGCCACACTCACGGGGGCTTGGGATATGCGGACCCACGGGTGCGCAGTTCCTCGTAGAGGCACAGAGGGGAAACGAGGGGAGCGAGGACATACGGGCTTGGCTTCAGCTACTGGCTGCGCCTCCCACACTCTTGCGTGCCCTGTATTTCCAGGGGGAGTCCTACGCGGGTACCGAGAGTACAAGCAGAGGCGAGGGGATGCGATGGAGGGACCTCAATAGAGAGGTGAGGATGCAAGTGTGGAAAAGGAACTAATATTCAAACTAAGGTAACTGTATGTATGGTACAGGAATATATACTGGGGAACACACGGCATCCACACATCCATGAAACAGTAATGAGTCCGGTCATAGTAAGTACAGTGTGCTTGAATATGTACTTAGTCCGTAATCTGAGAAGTCTGGGTGGCCGCGTGTATACATAGTCCGAGCCCATAGCCGGGAACACATGTGAATGTGCCCCTAGTAGCCCCTAAGGGAACTTCTTGGATGTGCCTACATATAACACTGGGGCAAAATCTGCCAAATTTGGCAGCTCTGCTGCAGTGGAATCCACAGACAATCTCTCGCAAACCCCTTGCGCCTCTTGCATTATTGTAAATGCCGGCAAATTTGCTTCCTAATTATATCTTGCCACTATTGATTCCAGCGGTATGAACTGTTGTGGCCATGTACACCGTATTTTTACTATTTTTTCACTTTTTCTGACTCATATAGATATTGTAAGGGTTGAACCCTTTCGTTCCATGCATTCCGACTTCCCCTATCTCCTATTGACCCCTCCCCAACTCCTCGGACTCACTCGCACATGACTCGGACGCCACAGAACCGCATCAGACACACGTGATAACGGATCAAACATCTCAGACCGAAGTTTCATATCTCTTTTGTTTCGGACTCTAATACTTTGATTATACTATCCCCATTATCCATACTTTGTTCCTTTTCATTTTGGATCTACTTCACATTTGATTATCACCTAGCTACAAAAACTCCTGTACTCGTAGTTAGAAGAACCAAGCTTGTTTCCCCCCCCCCACATTGAGTCAGATCCTAAGTCGTCTGAAGCTTTCTCCTCATCTGTTGTCAGAGTTCACCGTTGTCCGAGTCCAAGTCCAATTCAAAGCCAGTTTCTATCATTCTATTGCCATCCTCATTGTACTATCTGAAGCCGAGTTGTCTGTTCCGCGTCTGAGCACATCCAAGCGCATCTGAAGCCATCTGAAGCATCTGAAGCATCCGAAGTTTCTTACTCATTCATATCCGCTCTCGGACTCATCGTTCTCACACATAGTTTGCTCGGGTGTCGCACGGACTTGTCCTGCCGGAGGCAGACCCTCACATTTTCATTAGACTACCTACAGGTCTACGTGTATATTCACTACTACAATATATTTTAACTTTTTGCAACCTTTCTTGACTTGAGATGTCACTTTTTTTACCTTTTATGACTTTTCTGTACGCATTTTTAGACTGTTGGACAACTTCTTATGACCTGTTAGAGACAAGAAACATGACTTCATTTGACTTACAATGACTGTGGAAACTGTGAAGTAACCTATTCTCTGACCATTCATGACCTAAGTTGACCGAGTTGTGACTTCAAAAGACTTCGCATAGACTTATTGTACAACTAATCTTGACTGTCTGAAGTATCATAAACAGAATCAAAATGACAAATCTCAGACTTAAATAGATGTAGTAGGACTGTGATAGACTAGTATTGACAGCGGAAACAATGCTCGGCAGACCTTGGATGACTTCTTCACAGCATAAATGGACTTACATTGACTGAAGTAATGGATCCTTGCCCTACTGATTTTGACCTCTTGGGACTTTCCACGACCCTTTACTCAACTTGCAATGACTGATACTGACTGTGAGACTACTTACTAGGACTTGCAAAGACTCGACCCTTTGACCATACCTGACCGTGTAACAATTAACCCTGACTATTACTGACTGTGCGACAGTGCCAACAGCAGGTCAATTGTGTCGACTTATCTGTACTGACCTTAGACACCAGCTGACTAGATTTGACTGTATTTCTCAGATATGCGAGGGGGACCCACAAAATCAATTTCCAGTGTATTCACAGTCAAATTTTCGGCTTAAGTCCAGCAAAGTCCGCCAAAGTCCACCAAAGTCAGTATTTTCTGACTGTGATAAAATACTGAAAGTGACAGCTGATGTCAAAATCGTAGACACTGCCCGAAAAACCGGACATCCAGCCACTTGCCATCTTGGGCGAATGACATAAGCAAAATTGAACTCCGACTGAACGAGTCCAAGCACGACGCGCCGCACAATGTGCGATAACATTCTCTTGCTATCATGGGGAATTATCGCTTCATTCACCCCGAGCGGAAGAAGCTCGTCCGTTACCATGTCTGCCACCTTATCTCCCTCTCAAATTTCTAAGATACTGGCATCTCCAAACAAATAATATACCGTGCGAATTTTCTAGAATTTCTATGACGCTCTCGAGCCAAGGCACTTGATGATTGGAGGCTCGGCATGCCGAACGGCCCAAAATGGCAGGTGGTGGACTTCCGTTAAGCAACCGGGTACGTCGATTGCATGCATCTTTTGCAAGCGTCCGTGATTTCACAACCGGTTCCTTCCATGTCATTTCAGGACCCATAATATCTCTCGCGTCCATCCATACCCATACCCCACCCTAATAGTAACCACAACGGCGGCCCCCCTTGAAGATGTCGAGAAACGGTAACAAGAAGCCCGTAGGCTTTGCAACCCATATCATCGCTGGTGGTATCGCTGGTGGTTGTGAAGCGGTGAGTTCGTCTTCGAGTATACTGCGCCACGGAGTACTGATCAAGCCGTAGCTTGCGTGCCAACCGTTGGACACGATCAAAGTTCGAATGCAGCTCTCGCGATCAGGGCGAGCTCCTGGGGTGCGTACCCGCCGTTCAGGCAGACATCGTTGAAGCTAAAGGTCTACTTTAGACTAAAGCCAGAGGCTTTCTCGCAACTGGTGCCTACATTGTGAAACGAGAAACGCCTTTGGCATTGTACAAAGGCTTGGGCGCCGTTCTATCCGGCATCGTTCCAAAAATGGCTATACGCTTCGCTAGCTTCGAAGCCTACAAAGGCTGGCTGGCCGACAAATCAACTGGGAAGACGAGCATTGGAAACATCTTCCTTGGTGTGTGGCAGCATTTCCCCATCATCGCTTCATCTTAACGCCTTTCGACAGCTGGTCTGGGTGCAGGCACAACGGAGGCTATAGCGGTGGTGACGCCGATGGAAGTCGTCAAGATCCGTCTCCAGGCTCAGCAACACTCTCTAGCTGATCCACTAGAAGCCCCACGATATCGTAACGCTGGGCATGCTGTGTATACTATCGTTCGTGAAGAGGGGATATCTGCGTTGTATAGGGGTGTCTCCTTAACCGCCCTGCGGCAGGCAACCAATCAAGGTGAGCACCAACCTCGCTCGTTACGCATTCCGTTCACGAAGACTTGCAGGTGCCAATTTCACCGCGTACCAGGAAATCAAGAAATTGGCGCATCGCCTACAGCCAGACCTAGCTGACTTGCCGTCGTATCAACATATGGTTATCGGCCTTATTTCAGGAGCCATGGGTCCTTTCTCCAACGCACCTATCGATACTATAAAGACTCGTACGTCGAGCTCCTCTCTCATTGGTTTTGCCCGTGACATAACAACCTCGCAGGTCTCCAGAAGGCTACGGCTCTACCAGGTCAGACTGCGTTCCAGCGTATCGCTGCCATTGCTGGAGATATGTGGAAACAAGAAGGCGTGAAATCTTTCTACAAGGGTATAACACCTAGAGTGTTGCGTGTAGCCCCTGGCCAGGCGATTGTATTCGCGGTTTATGAGCGGGTGAGCAACATAATGGAGGCCGTTGCTCCAGCTGTACGCGAAGAGGATAAGTATTCAGAGTAGGCATTGTAATGTAACCTTGGGACTTTGTTGTATCGCTATTACCATCATCAACTTTTGCATTTCCAATCAGATTTATAATGTAGACATTTCTCCGGCAAAAAGTTCGACCGGTCATGCCGGCCTAATCTGTAGTTGATGTTATTTAACGGTTGGAAATTATGCAGACCTCTCACTCGAACGCGACTACCATCAGCCCTCGACTACTCTAGAAGAATCAACATGGCAGCGGCAGCGACCCGAGTCTTGGTTCTCCATGGGCAAGTCAACGATTCATTCATTCTAGCGGCACCTGACGTTCATCTTCATTCTTTCCCTGACCCTGTTGTAGATATTCGCAGAACGCTAACATCTTCAGCAAACGGGTAACGCTATTCACTCATGATCATGTATTCCACAGCAATCTCACACACATATAAAAGCTTGGGGCCCTTCGCAAGCAATGTGGCAAGAACGTAGACTTTTGTACGACATTCCAGCGATCTGATCGAAGGCTAAAATGCTGACTTACTGGCACTATTGGCAATGATTTCGTTTACAGTTTTCCTAGATGCACCCCACATCTTACGGCCGGTCGACCTCGTGGGGTTAAACCCGAATTCGAATCCCCAAGCAACATTAGAAGCACTAGATTCCGCAGCTGAACCTGATCCAGCACTGGCGCCCCGGGCGTGGTGGAAAGTCAACGAAGACAGGACTGTTGCGTACGGCTTGGAAGAGACATTGGAATTGCTTCGCGACGTATTGAAGGAGCAGAAGTTCAATGTGGGTCGCCATTCTCCATCATCATTATGCGGGGTAGACCCTTGAAAGCGATCTCCTAGGGTGTTTTCGGCTTTAGGTGAGTAGGCGACACGACAGAAGCTGCTGGAAGGGCTATTGATGGGTATACTTAGTCAAGGCGCTGCGTTGGCTGCTATGCTCTCGGCACTAGTACGTTATTCTTTTGGCATAACTTCCTTCTGCCGCTGATGGGCGCAATAATCAGCTTGAACGCCCCCACGTTGTCCCGTCGTTTCTAGTAAACGGACAACTACCCCACCCCCCTTTGTACGTCCAAATTTGGTTTGAGGCGCGTACAGCAACGCTGAACGAAGTCTCTACAGCGACTTCTGCGTTGCGATCTCAGGCTTCCGACTACGCGACCCCCTTGCAGATACCATTTTTGCGGACGGATATTCGACGCCAACTCTTCATGTAATCGGGAAGACGGATGTCATCGTAGTCGAAGAACGCTCGCGCCTACTCGTTGGCATCTCAACCCAGCCCAGAGTCGAAGAGCACGAAGGTGGTGCGTATTTCTCTTCGGTCGTCTCTTTCTTCCACAGAACGAAGGTTGAATGACGCGATCACTAGGCCACTTTGTTCCTTCGAAGGGGAATTGGCGTAAATTCCTCGCTGATTATCTCCGCGACCCCGCTTCAAGCGACCTTGTGCCGTCTCCTAACTCGTTTACAGGTGTTTCTAGCGGCCCGAATTCAGGTGCTGCCACACCGGTTGGTCCAACCTCGGGAGGAACGGTCCTGATGATGAAGCTCTGAGAACCTCCGCAGACTCATGGGTCACTCCTCTACTTATAGTTAGTTCATGTCTAATCGCACCTTCGTAGATGCGTTATAGAGTGTAGATGATTTGGAAAGTGAGTTGTGCCGTTCGGAGGGTGCTTCCAGACCTGATTAACTTTGAGTCACAGGAATCATTATGTTATCTAGCGCAACGGCCACGGCGTCCGGCCATAGATTCTTGATCTGTCCCAAGCCTGGACGGCTTGTCAGTGCTCGATATGAATCTTGATCGCAGTCCTGTCATATCGTGTTCATCTGTATTGTGGTGGGTGTTACATTGGGGTGCTTGAGAAGGACGACCGACGGAAGCGTCTCTTCAACTGCCTCATTGATATCATTTCATATAGCTGTACTTCTCGCTCGTGGCCTTCACGAAGGCCACCGAAGAACTTGATTCAAATTGTGTTTGTGGTAAGCCTCGGGTTGCAAAGCCGGAACACTCGAAGATTCTGCCAGTAAATTCTGACGGATGACAATCCAAAGGCTTCCGGCCGGTCAACTCATAGAAGGCGCCGGTGTGGAGACGTCGTGGTTTCTCTTCCCCAGATTGTGACTCGTCCGCGTTGCACACTTGATGATAACGGGTATCGCTGTCTCAAACTCGAGCAGCGGTATCTATTAATCGATGTGTCTTCCATCCAATCTAGTTATGGTGATCATCGAAAGATATACGGCATATGTTGATAGCGTGATCCCCAAGCTTTCTGCCCCCGTCTTGGTGTCCTACATTTGTAGTCTCTGGCCGCTGGAAGCGCAGGGTAGTGTACAGGGTCAACTACATCGGATTCCCTCAGCCGCAAGTTTAGTGCAGTGGTTCACTGTGTTGTGTGACAGTCAAGGGTGACAGAAATGTGACTTGATGTGACCGTGACAGATGGCAACAATATGCCCACAGAACTGATCTATTCGTACCTGTCTTTATACCGCCATCCCTCGAAATCTCATTATTTTCGTTCCTTTATCTTCAGAACGCGTCTACGATATACGAAACGATATGTCGTCCTGGTCCCCTCAACCGGCAGGATTGCAGGAAATCCTGCAAACAATACATGAATCAACGGACATGAACGTTACCGTGCAGCGAAATATCACCCAGGTCAGTTCGCACAGCGTTGGCAGATGGTCCATATATAAGCTAATATGGTCGCCGCCGACGTCTTCAGAAACTGAACAATTTCACGCGTGTACCAGACTACATTGCATATCTAGCCCATATCCTCACTACAACTCAAGAGGAGGCTCGGATTCGAACCATTGCTGGATATCTTTTGAAGAACAATTCGCGCCTCATCCTGAACGCCACTCCAGAAGTTGTCGCCTATGTCAAGGTCGCAGTGTTGCAGGCATTCACCGATTCGACAGTGATGATTCGCAATGCCGCCGGTCAGGATATAGTGGCGTTTCTGGGGGTCCTCGAACCGAGGAATTGGCCAGAGTGCCTCCAACAGTTAGTCAACTCGCTTGACTCGGAGGATGTGGAACATCAAGAGGTGAGTACATAGCCATTATTCATGCTCGGCCTCCCAGTACCCGTGTTGGAACGGCAAACGTAAGCTACTATGCTGCGTCAGCACGCGCCGAATCCGCCTATACGACCCTCCTTCTGTTTACTCGACCGTTTTATCTGCCCAATGCGCTAGCGTGACATTCATTTCGCTTCGTACTGATTCTGGTATCTTAGGCTGCATTCAATGTCTTGGAAAAAGCCTGTGAGGACTACCCTCGTAAATTGGATGTCGAAATCGGCGGCATGCGACCTTTGGATTTCATGATCCCCAAGTTTCTCGCACTTACTGAACACCCTTCCGCCAAGATGCGAGCCCACGCAGTGGCTTGCCTCTCATATTTTGTCCCCGTGAACTGTCAATCGCTCTTCGTTCATATCGACGCTTTCATCGTCGCTTTATTCAAGCGTGCTTCGGACGAGGATCCTCAAGTTCGGCGTCATGTCTGTCAAGCCCTTGTGCTCCTTCTCGCCGCCCGTCCCGAGAAGCTCATGCCGGAGATGACCAATGTCGCCGAGTATATGCTCTACTCTACAAAGGACAAGAACGAGAACGTCGCTTTGGAAGCATGCGAGTTCTGGTTAACTTTTGCCGAGGACGCAGATCTCGCTGTATATTTGCACCCGCTACTTGGTCGGGTAGCTCCCGTCTTACTTGACTGTATGGTTTACGGCGACGACGATCTTCTCTGGCTGGAAGGAGACGCAGAAGATGCTGCCGTCCCTGATAAAGACACGGACATCAAACCACGGCATTACGGTGGCAAATCGCATGGTCTGGAACGCGAGGGTAACGGTGCTCCTGCTGGAGAGGAAGCTGGCGCCAAAGCCCGTGTTGGCGCATACGGTGAGGAAACTTACGACTCGGACGAGGAAGAAGATTACGATCTTGACGATGATGACTTCGCCGAGGAGATGTCCACCGAGTGGAATCTTCGCAAATGTGCCGCAGCGGCTTTGGATGTACTGGCAGTCCGGTTTGGGGCCGATTTGTTGAACGTCTTACTTGGGCCGTTAAAGGAAAAACTGTGGAGTAATGACTGGCTTCAGAGAGAAAGTGGTATCTTGGCACTAGGTGCTATGGCTGAAGGTACGCTATCCTTAGAATTTGCCGGATCTCAGCTCATTCCACGTTTTCGAAGGCTGCATTGAGGCTATTGAAGCTCATCTGAGCACTCTAGTCCCTTACCTCATAAACACTTTGAACGATCCCAAAGTCAGTCCTCTCGCCATCGCGAATTGCGTCTAACTAAGCTACCGTCTACAGCCACTTGTTCGATCGATTACTTGCTGGACGCTTGGTCGATATGCTAGCTGGACATGCCAGCCTTTCTCCGAGGAGCATAAGACCCGGTACTTCGTACCAACCATGGAAGGCGTAAGAACCTACCAACGTGAAACATCCTCCTTGAACTTACAAATGCCCCTAGCTACTTCGCATGGTACTCGACAACAACAAGCGTGTCCAAGAAGCTGGGTGTAGTGCCTTTGCAACTTTGGAAGAGGACGCTGGAATGGAGCTTGTACCCTACCTCGAGCCCGTTCTTCGCAATCTCGTCTTCGCGTTCGAGAAATACCAGCACAAAAACATGCTCATCTTGTACGATGCCGTTGGCACGCTGGCAGATGCTGTTGGCCGCGCGCTCTCGAATCCAACATACGTTGAGATCTTGATGCCTCCGCTCACCACGCGCTGGTCTAAGCTGAAAGACGACGACGAAGACTTGATCCCACTGCTGGAGGTCAGTCTCTGCGTTGATTACATTTCTTCCATTAAGTAATGTCGCGTATAGTGCCTTGCGTCCGTGACCATTGCTATGGGCCCTTCTTTTGTCCCTTACGCTGGTCCGATCTTTGAGCGATGCTGCAATATCATCCACACATCCCTGCTCCAGTACCAGACCTATCAACAGAACCCCGAGCTCGAGGAACCCGACAAGTCTTTCCTCGTAGTTGCCTTGGATCTGCTGTCCGGTCTGACTCAAGGGCTAGGAATGGCTTTGGAGCCTTTCATCAGCCAGAGCCAACTCATGCAACTCGTCACCTTCTGCCTGAAACATCCTCAGGCTCCTGTCAGACAGTCCGCTTACGCACTCGTTGGCGATCTCGCCATGAACTGCTTCGCCTTCCTCCGTCCTCACATGCCTGCTATCATGGCAGAGTTGACGCTGCAGCTTGATCCTGAGCCTAAATTCGAGTTCGTGAGCGCGTCAAATAATGCCGCTTGGTCCGTTGGTGAAGTTGCGTTACGTTACGGCCGTGGTATGTAATTCTTCTACCGTCTACATCCTTCTCTAACGATGTTCTCCGTAGATGATCAAGAATTCCAACAATGGGTGAACCCTTTAATCGCGAGGTTGATTCCCATCCTACTACATCCCAAGGCCCCTCGGAGTCTACATGAAAATGCCGCTGTTTCGATAGGAAGAATTGGTCTAATGCACCCCAATCTTGTCGCTCCTCATCTACCGGAGTTCGCGCAGGCGTGGTGCCAAGCACTGTATGAGATTCGGGACAACGAAGAGAAAGACTCAGCATTCAGAGGGTTCTGCACCCTTGTTCAAACGAACCCTGCGGGCATCGCTAAGGTATGCTTCCGTCGCCCTGTTGCATAGTGCTTGCTAACTGACACCACTTAGTCGCTGTTGTGGTTCTGCAACGCAATCGTCAGATGGACACAACCATCCCCAGAGCTGAACCACATGTTCCAACAACTTTTGCAGGGCTTCAAGGCTCACGATGCGACAGGATGGGCTGCGCAGGTGTCCCAATTCCCGCCCGTCATTCAAGAACGTCTCGCTGCCCGCTATGGCGTGTAATACCTTGGCAAAACTCGAACCCTGTTGTCTAAATGAATATCATGCATTCTTCCAAACCCCATTTCTCTCTGTAACATCGTACTCCACTTGATCGCATCTCCTCCACGATGTGCCGTAGTTAGTGCTCTGCCTGCTCATCTCTTGCATCTGGATCTTTCCGTAGTAGTAGTAATTCCTCCATCATGACTCTTCAGTAGGTACATCTTAGTAGGTAGTGTTCTGATCGCATATTCCTCATTATAGCTGTGTCGTGGATTCCTTCTATGGCACCAGCGCACATTTTTAAGTAGCATTAGTAGTAGTTACAAGTTATCCTTGACCGCAATATAGTACGTAGTGTAGCAATTTATATCCGACTCCAGTAGATACAATGACTCGTTTTCAAATGCACATGTGTTGTACGATACGACTAGGGTTTTGTTTGGGCTCTTTGGCGATGTCTACTATCATTTATATGTAGCTAACAGATGGATCGATGAATGATGAAGGATGGAATCGGAATCACAAGTTGGCCCTCGACGTAGGTATAGAGATAGATAATACCATCCCTTATGCTTGAGTAGTGTATTACACCCATCATTTGATCGACTTCGCAGAGAAAGTAGCAATACTATTGGATTGTCTTACACTATATTGTAGTGTTAGTAATAATACACTTGATCGGGCATGCAGGACAAAACTATGATACGGTCGAATAACAGAGTTGATAAATACGTCTAAGATGTGTGTCATAACGACTGCAACTGTGGTGACGGCTCGTCGAGCGGAGAGTAATGCGACCTTGCGTATATACACATGAATGCTTTAATGGAGCCTCTCAAAAATGATCTGAACGGAAGACTAGAGACTGAATCGGCTGGAAACCTTGGTCTTGGTGTTCGCCCAGGCAACGGAGAGTCTGGTCGCCCGCTTCTCTTGGTGTTCGTGTCCAAGGTTGAGCGAGTCGAGGTCGACGGCGTCGTCGGAAAAACGGTTGAAGGGTTCTTTGAACACGCGATGTTGGCCATACGCAAGGAGTGGACTATTTTGCGTAACCAGAGCGATGGAAAATATATCATCAGCACAAATGAATGCTTGCAGACATGAAGCGGGGTACTGACGTGAGAACAAGAGAAACCACCATGAGGACTATAGTCGATACTGGTGGTTTGTATCCACCCCCGAGGATATCCTACGAAAGAGAAAGGAGTTTGGTGTGAGAAAACACTGGCTGGGGAGATGACGTGAACGTACAGCAATGTGGGATGTGTTACGGTCGAAAAGAAACCGAAGCCCCCTGCTCATACCCGATTGCTGATTAATTATAAGGTCAATGCCGAGGGCTGTTAGGAACGTTCCCGCTGAAGCGCAGCCAACGACCTAAACTCGGGAATCAGATGAGAAAGACGATGAAACGGTGAAGTAGACATACGATCCCTGTCCTCTGCCACCAAATTAGAACTGCTCCTCCTCCAACGCCTAGCGCAGCAATGAGGATCCAATTAGCAATAAACATTCCGGATTCGCGGCCGGGGATGAGAAGGTCTTCGCGTAAAAGCATTATACGAATGCCTGCTGAGACTCCGCCACTTATTCCTAGGCAGGTTATCCCAGCCACACGACCAAAATTAAAGGCGCCGATGACTCCTCCCAAGAGAAAGCATGCGAGGACGATAAGAGTGAGTGTGAGATCGGCGATGCCGGTGTCGGATACTGAGTTAATGAAACCGGCCCAGACTACACAAGAGTCGGTCAATAATGATGAGACATCAAGAATAGAGTTGAAACATACTGCAGACAGCAAGGGCCAACCCAGTACCAGTTGCTGTAGTGAGACGCCATCCTCTGAGGCCAGCTAAAGCCAGGGGCGCGCCGACGACGATGGAGAACGCAATCCATACGAGAGCTGCGGGGGAAGAGCCTACACCACCGCCATCCGTCGCAGGTCCTTGAGGGATAAGTGCTCCAGTATTTGGATCAAATACCTTCAATTCCCCCGTGACATTATTCAAGATAGGTGCCCTACGAGGTTCAAGTGTGACATGGGGTGCGAGAGTAGCGCTGATCGGTGTAGAGGTTATCGGGGACGCGAGGATTGTGCTGAATAAGTATATTAGAGTGAATAGTAGCGTTTTGAGGCGGACTGAGGCCGCCATTGTAGGGTAAAGAGCGAAAGCGTCGGTCTAGACAACGCGATAGTATGTGAAATTGAGCTTTTGGCTGTGATCGCCAACAGCTCGCTGGGAGACAGGCTGATCTGAACAAAAGACCTTGATTCGACGCAGATGAGGTGAAGAACGGGGGGGAAGCTGGGTGCAGCCCGGCACCAGGTGAATAAGACGAAGAAAAGACCAACGCGGAGGGGTATGGAGGTGGAGCCTGATACGAGGGTGAGAAGTCAAGAAAATCCCCGTGAAGACCCCTGTTTCCAGCCAGCGGTACGAAAGAAAAAAGCAATTATGGAGCGTCGGGGAGCACGCCGCGCACACTCGTTGTTTGCTGAGATCTGTCGTGTTGGCAACGTGATTGAGACCTTGTTTTACACATGTCATGACAAGGTGATTAGAAATACGTCAACCGGAGGAAGTAAATGCTTGCACTCACTAGAGTCTGACACCTTGACTGCCACGGAATTATCCCAGGTGGAGTCTAAGATGATATACAACCTTTGAGACAACGGGCTCAGTAAATGGTTTATTCCACGAAAATATTGAGATTCCTCGGCTCAGAGGATCAACCAGTGGTCTTGAATCAATGAGCCGACACCTACCTTACAGGCATAACACTTGATTCCAGCCTTTCGAGCAGGTGGCAGGAGGACCAGTCGCTGACAGGGGTAACGATGATCTTGATCGAAAGTAAGCTTTGGCCGTGTTTTCTCAGGCGCTAATCCAACTCCGCGCAAACTTTACTTCAGCGAATGGATTCATCACGACGGTCAAGGATGTTTGCAGCAGCGCTGAAAGTCGTCGGTGGAGACGAAGGCGGAGAACCGCCGCATGGAATAGACAGCGATTTCCTCGAACTAATCCACCAGCAACTTCAAACCATAGATATCTCTCGCGCATCCGACGATGTGCAGCTGCATGATGATGTACGCGCCGCTCTGATAGGAATCGTTCTGGAGAAATCAGAAATGGAACTGTATCTATCTCTATCTTGCATGCAATGCTAACGTGCTAATGTTCATTCTATACAGACTGGCGAGAAGACGAAAGGAGATTCCCGTAACCCCCGACGGGGACGCGCTGCTCTCGATGCCTCCGGGATACATGTTACCATCAGCTTCCAAGCGAGTAGCAAAGCCATGAATGGGCACCAGGTACTAATCATAGAGTCTTGGCTTTAGTTCCCGCGTGGAATGTATGGACAAGGAATCCCAGCTCCTCGAAGCCGAAACCGAGCACTCGAACAGTCGTCTGGAGCAAATGAAGTGGGTAGACCGAAAGTCTAGTTCTCCCTACAATCTCATGTGTGCAGGTAGATCGGCCACCAAGAAGATGTCTACAACTATAATGCAGCTGCGCAGCGCTATCAAAGAAACCGAAGCCAAGTCTTCGCAGTGCCTCGAGGGCTTCGATGAAATGGAAATCAAGGTAGGACGACTCGACTGCGTCGGACGACTTGAATTCCTGAGTCAGGGATCTAGATGGCCGTAGCTCTTTCTGGATGCCTATCTTCGTCTTATCAACTGATGGACGTATTCCCAAAGCCCGGTGTCGATTTGTGCTCTGTCTCGCCGCAAAGAACGACCACAGACGGCCCCTTTGTAAGTTATGACCGGACACTTGAGGGCATATCCTCCCTACGCAAGCCTGTCATCGAGCAGTACAAACGCAGAGTCGCCGATATCCACGCCATAGCGCAGGAAATACCTACGCCAGAGGAGATCGCGGCTGACCTGTGCGTTCTCCGGGAACCATCGACGGAAGCGTGGAGGGCCTCGGTTAGATTGGCACAAGAAGCTGCTTTTGACGCGGAAATTAGAGCGATGGTCGATGCGCTATCGCAGGACGGTCAGATAGACCTAGGTGAATTCCTTTCGGGGGATGATACAACAAAAACAACTACAACTACAACCGCTGGATACTCGCCGGGACGTGAGGTCGTGGACGTCGAGGCTGAGCTTGCGGCCGCGCTGAAGCTCGACCAATTCAACATCCTACAGAATAAGAAAACTGCCTTAGACGATGTACGGTGTGAAGCCCGCATCACCACCAACATTTCTCATGATGATTCTATTAAATTTAGGCACTTCGATCATTCAAGGAACGTGTCCTCCCTCCGCTGCAGGCGGCGCACGACTGCCTCTCGTCTATGCATGCAAAGACCGTGGAGGCTGAGGCGCTCCTAGGCGCGCTCGGCGAGGAACTCGAGGCCGTGGCAGACGGTGTGCGCGCTGCCAGAGCCAGTGCGCCGCCCCCGAAACCGAAACCGAAAGACAGCGCGGCTGGGGATAACGGGCGCGGTGCGTGCGGCGACCATGGGGCATTTGCGCATTTGTGCGATTTCTTCAAGGAACGTGAACGTGAGTGCCTTGTTATTGTGAGAGGACGAATGGTGTACTGAGCCTGTGTTTGGATAGCTTCGCGTCCTAAAGGCGCGCCGCCGCTGGTCCTGCTCGACACAGAAGATATCGAGAACGAGATAAACCTCTGGACGGCGTACGAAGCGGCGCTGCTGGAGGACGAGCAACGCCTCCTCGCGCGTATCCCACCTTCTTTGGAGAACCTGTAAGATCCCTCTTCCTTCTCCCGAAATATTAGCAGACCAATTTACGATCCACCCCTCACACTCTCACGCAACATCGTGCATCGTGCATCATATATTGTAGATCCGCTAGCCACGCGCCCCTGTTGTCCGCCATATACCAGCACTCCCCGCTCAACTCCTCGCCCCCCTTCTCCGATTCCCCGCGCCTCGCCTCAGTAACGAGAATTACTCAAGCCAAAGCAGATGCGCTAGCAGAAACACTGGCCAGGATACAGAAGGTGCGTCTGCAGCAAGTACACTGTTTGGACTCCAGTGCTCGAGTGCTTATAGTGGATGTCACCCCAGGATATCGAGTCGATCGAGTCGAGGCAAGCACAGAAGAAGCTTTCTCTCTTTGTGTCGAAGTGGACCGCGAAGAAGTAGATATCTGATACCGTTCGCTAGCTATCTTAGTCGATTACTTCGAGAATCGACAAGTGAAGTTCAATTACTTCCTTAATGGTTCTCGTTTGGCCTACATTGCACCAATGTACAAGTGTCCAGTCTAGCGAGACTGCTCCGGACTGCTCTGGTTCTTGTGCGGACCCGCGAGACAGGCAGTGTTCCGATTCCGCGACCTCTTGCTCTAGAGCGCAACAAGCCTTCAATTTTCGGTTTCGCTAGAATCCTTTCCAAATCCCGTCCGCTAATAGACCCTCACATCACGTGGTCTTGCGACTGCAACCACAATCAAACGCCTTTGATTTAGCACCGCCAATCTCTCACTTTTTCTGCCTTGGTTTCGCCGCGCGTATCGTGACATCGCTAGCTTCAATTACAGTCAAAAAAGGGGAGGCCGAAAGAGGTTTGACGCGTCGTTGTGCGGGATTCCTCTTCAGACTGAATCACGAAGCGACGCGCCCATTTCCTAGGTCAAGAGCTCCTCCCTTTAGAGAAGGAAGGAATGCGAGCTACGCTCGCAATGACATTCGAAACCCATGCCCTACCACTTCAAAGCGAGTGTCCCGCGGATCCATCCTGTACGATTATTTGTTCGTCTACTTATGGTTGCTACAAATTTCCCAATCATTCGTTGGGCACTACATCGACGAATGAGTTGAAATTATATGTTTGGCATTCTTTCGTGACGAATGCAGATCCGAACCCAGAAACCACGACATTGTTGTTCCGGATGATCTGAATAAAAGGTATCTGCGAATCCTGTTGTGGAAATGCGACTTGGCCAATCGATACGCCCGCTGGTGCATTCCATTCGAGATGATTGTTCAACCCGATGTCCATGGTGACGGTAGCCGGGCTTGTGAGGAGCGCAAATCCGAAGACGGCATCTGCGGGGAATTGTGAGTTACGAGGCTTCGATGGTATTGCACAATTCGCGTCTTTGGGATGCAGGCGGTACCACACTACTACTTGATCTTTCTGCAGTGATAATCAGAGCACATCATCAGTTTAATTCGTACTAACACTGACCTGAACAACAGGTGGCAAATTGTCCAGATACCACGAAACATAATACTTCGCGACGATCTGCCAGCCCGTGTGATCCATCCCATCAACATACGCGTGCGCATCCGCGTCCATGAACACATTCGGATTGACCGTGCCGATGTACTGCGACTCCGCGTAGTCGTTCCAGGTTACGATCTCCACGATGTCCGGCACGACGTCGGTGATCGCCTGCTCCCAGCGGTACTTCCACAGTGTGTCGCTGAGTTCGACCCAGTCGTTGTCGAGGTTCCCGCCTCCGCTGCCGAGATTTTTGAATTGCCAAGGGGACACGGCTACCAGATGCTCTTGTGAGCAGCGCATCTTGCCAAGAGTGAAGGTGAATATATCATACACATGATGAATGGACCAGTCCGAGACGATTTGATCGCGGTTTGATACGCTTTATCCGTATCCGTCGTAAGGAGGTTCCCATTATCCTGAGGCCACGACCACCAATTCATGAACCCATCAATAGAAGGGAACTGCGTAAGCAACGTGCTCGCTGCACCAGGGTCGCGGAACGAGATGAAAGCAGGCGCCAGAGAAATCTGGATTCCCCGCGCCGCCAGCGTTGACTTGAGATTCGTCCAGAAGGTATCGCCCTTGTCCTCGCCTCGGAAGGAGGAGACCAACACCTTGCCATTCCATTTGAAGGTGCTCGGGCTGGCGGCGTGCGCGGAGACGAGGGCTGCTATGGTTGCGATGTCCCAGTTGAAGGCGAAGTCGAAAGAGAAGAAGAGGGGGAAGCCCCTCGACTCGGCTACAGAGTAGGCATCTGCGATCCGCGACGGCTCGTAGGAGTTCCCCGCCGTATTCAAGACTGACGAAACGAAATGTTTACTAAATTAAATTGCAGTAATGGGTAGCAAGCATAGGCAGCGAGTGTAACCTACCGAACCCTTGAATACCAACAGCAGAAGCAGCGTTGATCTCGTTCTCCCAGTCAGCAATGCTGTAGGACTCTGAATTAGCAGCCTACAAGGCGAAGCGGAGTGTAATCCGTTTCAGTGAATAGTCTCAAGCCGTAACTCGATCTGAACCACTCCACCATGAAATGCGCGAAAACATTCTTGCTAGCGGCGAAGATGGGTGTGAGGCCTACAAGGCACAACGCCGTAAGATAGACACGTAACATGATGGTGGGGAGCTCAGAGAGGGTTGCATTACCCTATGGTTCGAAAACTTAATGCCGTAGAGCTGAATTCAGTACGCTGGACTTCTGTGAAGAGCTGCGGACTGCACGTCATAGGCGAGCTTCGAAGCAGTTCCACCTTCCATGTGGGCCACGGTCTAATGACCAGAGGAGGGCCCCTTCGAAGCGACTAACCAGGATGCTTTCTCGCGGTGATACGAAGCCCGGCACTGGATCGCATCTGAGAACTGAGAACAGACCATCGAACGGTGTGCCGAAATATATCCATATCACTGCCCCACGGGCTTTATCATGATGCAGCGAGTATTCACATGATTAGCCAGTACACGCATGATGTAGACGAGGCGAACGCACCTGCAAGTACACCTGCGGCTTCAAAGGTCAGATAGACAAACTAGGAAGTGGGTCAGAAGGTGCGCAGCGTGTCGTGACAGGGGAAAGAGTAAGAGAGCCGTAATGCGAAAGGGTCAAGGAAGGAAATAATATCTGGTACAGTGAGTGGCATAGAAGTCTGGAGGATAGGAAGGTGTGAAGATATGATATAGGTCGTGGATTGGATTTTATGCACATGTGGTGCTGTCTATACATGAGATGAGATTGATGACAATGAGGATGGGTGATACTTGAATATTTGAATACTTGGTTTGAAACGCGAATGCCAGCAGTCCGACAGATCTCTGATAACAACATAACAACATCGACAACATCAACACTGAGAACAACGGCAACGGTTCGCTGTTGTACCGAAAAGAGCAAGAAACGCCGCCCAAAATCAAAATCAAAGACATTACAACACCATATGTCCCATAGGCGGATAGGAAAAAGAATAAGAAAGGGAAGTTTGAGAATAAGAAGGGATAATTAGAGTCATTGCTGCCGAGTACGGCCCCACCGTTCGTACACCGTCCACCGAAGCCAAAAGACGAGCGGACGGCGTCGCGAGTGGGATTTTTGTTGTACACAGTACAATCGTGGTACACTGTTGCACAAACCCCCATTTGTTGATTAAACATATGTTGATTGGGAAACCAAGATGGATATCGGTGGAGGGATGGAGGTCGTTGCGGGTTCGTCCGTTAGTCGTGCCATTTGTAGCGTGCGTTGAAGTGACTTTGAGAATTGAATAGTGACGGTCTATACGTGTATATGCGCCATCTGCGATACAGGCGTCGCGGAATATTCGAAGCCTGTGAATAGCGGCCCGTAGGGATCGTTCGCTGGTACGCCGTACAACTTGGCCGAATCGTCTTCTGCATACATCTCAAAACTATTTCTAATGGTTAATTCCTATAGCCAGAGAGAAACACGGATGACATACGCTGAGGCATCGCCATCGCTTCTAACTTTAGGCAAATACGGCGCCGTAATCTCTCGCGCATTCAGCCTGACCCAATCGACCTCCTTAAACCAGCCATGCGAAAACACATCCCCCGCCCCGCTTCTCATGTTGCCGTACCGCTTGCTGGGATCGCTCTCCATCAGCTTCAATATCAGATCTGTCGCAAGGGGCTGGAAGGTCGGCCACCTTATGAAGGCGGGGCCACGCGTGATCTTTTCGTACAGGAGGACGGGGTTGGCGTCGGGTTGGTGGTACGGCGGGAGCCCGGAAAGCATCTCGAAGATGAGGATGCCTAGAGCGTACCAGTCCACGGATTTGTTGTATCGCTGCTGCTGTATGATCTCAGGTGCGAGGTAGTCGGGCGTCCCGCACAGCGTCCACGTCGTTGTATCACAGCTCTTCGCGAACCCAAAGTCTGCGACTTTGATGTGCCCGTCAATATTAAGCAGTATGTTTTCAGGCTTGAGGTCCCGATATATGATGTCCAGACTATGCAGATAGTTCAGCGCCAGCGCCACCTCTGCCGCGTAGAATTTCGCCACTGGGTCCGGGAACCTCTGCGCACGGTCAGATCACCCTAGGACAGACAACCGACTCGACGCACGTTAGATCTCCGTAGCAGCGTGAACAATTCCCCGCCAGGGACGAAATCCATCACCATGTACAGATTCGTGCAGTCTTGGAACGTCCCCCATAGATTCACGATGAACGGATGCTGGATGCACTCCAAGATATGCTGCTCGTTGTTCGTGTGCGCTTCCTGCTTCATCTTCACCACCTTCTCCTTATTCAGCACCTTGATGGCGTAGAATCGGAGATTGTGTTTGCTTTGCACTGCAATCCCCCGGTTAGTAGTGGTAGTAGCAGCAGCAATAATGCAAGGGGATACGCACCGAGATGCACCCGCCCAAAGCTTCCCGTCCCGAGTGTCCTTTGAATCACAAAATCTGCTAGTTTGTACGACCCCCGCGTCTTTTTCACTAGCCTCGGCTGCATGGGCTCTTCCGGTAGAACGTCCAAGCTATCCCCCCGCTTACTCAAGTCGCTAAATGATGTGCGTTCCGTTGAAATCGAGCCTCGATGGTCGAAATGAGTCTGTGAGTGCCCGGGGGTATGCGTTAGGGTATGGGGAATTGTGCCTTGACCTAGCGAGTTGGCCAGGATATGATGCTGGACCATCGCGGACGAGGAAGCAAGTTGTGGGGTAAGTTGGTCTTCTTCATGTTTGCTGATATGACCCAGGTGGGATCCAAAACGACCAGCCATTCGTTTAATCATTCACTGGGGGAGCGGGGACTGTGGTGGTTGAGAGCAAAGGAGAACAAGGCTACTGTGGCATCACCTCGATTCCTTTGTTGTTTGCGTTCATTGTTCAGTTATAGACAAACACATCACAACTCATGTGAATTCACCGTTGCTGGTCGTGCTCGGCCTTTTCTAAGCATCAGGGACTCCCGCTAACGAAGCCGACGGTTTAGACGGCTTGGAGGTGTTTCGTTTGTGTTGGTTTCTCCCTGCTTCTAACGGGGCCTATTATTCATTTACTGCGGGCGACGGGCATCAAAATATCCTATTGACCCCGAAAAGTCGCAGTGCATGAGGTAGTTCCTTCGATATGACCATGTATTATCGCGTCGATACGACGAGGGGAGGAGCTCCTCGCCTCTTAAGTCTCCTGAGCTCCTATGTAGCTCCTGATTGAGTCACGTGAGCGATCACCTTCCCAAGTTCAGCCGTGTTTGAACAAAAGCAACAAATGCCTCGTCTTCCACTGCCCGATATCCTGCAACGAGGTATCACATACTCGCTGGCCGGTTTGACGGTTTATGGCCTGTTTGTAGGCGTTGCTGTACATCGCGATACGCTCCGAAGGGGACGAGGTGAGTTCTTACTGCTCATATGACTGGGCGTTCGTTCTGACGAAAGCTGTTTCGGACATTCATAGAAGTAAGCCTATCATTGTATTCACTGTGACGGTGGCTCTGATCTAGACCATGCTCGTTCATAGTTGATGGCTGAACGGGAGGCCGCAGCGCGACAGGTGAACCAGGTGTGTAACCTCGGCGGCTATGCAAGGGGGGAGGCCGATTCTACCTGAATTTAGAACGAGGAAATGGAAAAGGAGCTGGCGAAGGCAGCTCAATCTGCGCTCTATCCCAGCAGTACCACTAGTGGCACCCATTGATCGCGTATTCCATCGCATTCTAGTCGAAACGGTCAGTTCCATCCTGCATTTCTTGTTATATTTTTACTAAACCATATTGATCAGACATCCCCTCTCTCTCACCGCAAGCCCTATCATCAATGTGCCTTGCGTCGGTTGGGTTGGGAAACACCCGGCTGTGCTTGCGGTGAACGTTGAAGATATATATAGTTAGGAGGCAGGAGGCAGAGATAGCGAGTACGGTACACTGTTGCTACATGTGAATGGATACATATCAAGCTCTGGAAAGGTCCTTGCATAAATATGGGTACAATGGGGGTTGCGTGTAACTCGACAGCGAGATATAAATACAGAGTTAATGATTCGATTGGTCCGAGTGCTGCTGGCTTCGTATTAGTCTTGAGCGGGGATTGGTATGGTCTGTCGGGCGTTGGTGAGGTGTGTAAGATGATGATGCCGGCACCCGTCCCTTGATGTCGAACAGGTCGCCTGTGATGCATGTGATGGTGAACAGGGCATAGCCTGAGGTCCCATCACCAATGACCTAACACCACCTTATTTTGGTCAAATCCAACTTCCATCCATCTATCCACGCCCTTCACTTGCACGCCCTCTTTTCCCAAACCAACATACCCCACCCGGCGATAAACGTTCGCTGCAGGGTTGTCATGCCCAACATAGAGCATGACCACTTGTCTTGTCTTTAGGTATTCCTTCGTGACATGGCGAACCAGGATCTCGGCGTATCCGTGTCCACGGTGCTCCGGAAGGGTGTAAACTTTCGTTATCGTCGCAACATTTTCGGTATTCCTAGTCACAGCGACGATGGAGGCAAGGTGGGATCTACCGTTGGCTGAATGAGCTGCGAGAACCCATGCCTGCCTGCGACCGAGGAGTGCTCGCGCTTCTTGGTACGCTGATTCTCTGGAATGAATGAAGGGGGGCTTTGAAACACATATAAACAGCATCAGGAAGCAGCTTTCAGGAGATACTGACGCATGACTCACCGATTCAAATGCGAACCCGAAGCAAAGTGCAGCGAGATTGTCTAGATCTGGATCCTGCGCTAATCTACATTCGAAGGCGCCTTGACGGGGATGGAGATGTGCCTGGCGAGTTGGTGGTTCGGTGAGAGTATCCTTTGTACAGTAGGACACTTTTGAAGCATAGTATGGCTCTCGCATGGGCTGGATTCCTGTCCGTTGCGCCCATGCTTGCGCAAACTTGAGAGATATTGGTTCGGCCGCATAAACCGAGTACACACGCGATGGGGATACGACTTTCGCTAGGGCTTCAACGAGGATACGTATACGTTCTTCCAGGAAATCCTGTGTTAATCTTGCGTGGGGATGGATGCTGGCAATGAAGATGGGGTACTTGTCAACAGGACCATCCGTGCAGGACAGGACCAAATCGACGGTGGAAGGAGAGCCGGGGGTACAGCAAGTGATCCAGAATTCACCCTGCCTAGCGGGGTATCGTGCGTTCTCCTCGGCGCGCCGCTTGTTGAGGTGAGGAAGCACGGTGTTAGTGTACCACTCGTTACTTTTTAAACCGTCCCATATATAAGCGGGAATGTCGGTTGCGCGAGAGTAGGTGGCGGTAAAGGGGTGGGTTGTGGCGATTGGCATTGATGTCCAAGGGCGTGTTTGATGAGCCGGGACGCGTAGACGTGAAGGAGGACGGCAGCAGCGATGTTATATCGGGAAGAAGTGTTGTATCAAAAAAGTCGCGTTTGCTGTAGATAGATATATGAGCAAGGGGTAAACACGGGATGCGTAGCTATGACTCGACGCGGAGGAGCGTAGACAGATGAGTCAGATGTGGTTGGGACGAGGATATGACTGCGGCACAGACTTATATACTTGGCCTTGGGCTGTTTCTGCAGTTATATCCACACCAATACAGCTGCATGGCTTGGAAACGCAATCCTCGTGCAACCAAATGGATGTCTAGCGCACCGAATGTCGAGCAGACTGATCGGAGGCATAGGTTCAGGGTCGTAATTATGACTCGTCCCAGATAGTGCTAAACCAGCCCAGGTCGAGGTGCAAAACGGCTAGAAAGGTCATAGTATGGAACATCAAAGAAGGTCATAGAGCGGGCGGTACCATGCCGCGCAAGTCGTTTGTGGGAGTAGAATGGACGAACCAGAACAAATGAATCATAGGTGAATCGTGGAGGGACCAGCGGAGGAGAATCACCGCACCCCTGTAAATCAATTCTGCATACCAACGCAAGCGAAAAAAATATTAGATCAGATGATGATGAGAGATCAAAGTCAAGAGTCAGCTCATTACTCGCCGTAGGTATATGGGCCAGCGGGGTACACAAGGTTCACAGCCCTTCAAGCAAGCTGAAGAGGACCGAAATGAAAAGTGAGTCTGCCCGCTGACCCGTAGAAACGTGACCTTGCCTGAGTCGATGCAGCATGTACGACTGGGAGATGCGCCACCAACAAAAGCTGAGTCGTTCGTACTTGCCCCTTCCATTGAGTCCTTGGACATAGATTAATCTACTTGCTGTGCTAGAAGGCCATGCCTCCTGCCATCTTTTCTGCAGCGTGTTGCTTGCGCGACATACGAGGCATCACCTTTCGTTCAAGATCGCCTTGGTTACGATGGAAAAGAGCTAGCTCAGTCACAGAGCCGTCTACACGTTGCACTTCCACGACTCGCGCCGGCATGAATCGTAGATCTGGACCTCTGTGAAAAGAACTAATTCAGATGAAGCGGTACTGTGATACCAAAAAGAGCACGAACCACTGAGCTCCCGAGCACAGTTCCGAGACCGCCTGTCGATGCGGGGGTGGTGGGTGTCAAAGATATCTGGCGGTCTAGCTCCGATTCCGAGATGTGTGCGACTGCAAGAGATGCGACACAGCAATGCTGATTCCGGTGTGATGGAGCAGAAAATTTGGAGGGCAGTAAAAGAAAAGGACCGAAACCAGGTGTCCATTCAGAACTCACATATTAGCAAGTTCGATTAGAAACATCAGTACATCAGTCCTCGCAGGCACTAGAGTGATGAGGAGAAAGCCAAAGTGTGGTGAGAACACGTGTACCGATCATGATCACCGAAACTTGTCGGAACAGGGGCCATCGATTCTCACTGCGAAGTCATTACTTCCTTCTAGAAATGGCACTGTTCGCTGCGGATCGAATACTACCATTGTTAGCTCTTCGTGGAAGAGATGTTCCACCATTACACTCGCCGCAACTTCATGGATTGAGTCCGGGATGCTCCGAGTCCTGCTTGAATAAAATTCATAGGATTTACATACTGCTGCCCACAGTATGAAGCTTCTGGGCCATTTTACCTATATCTCAAGTCCAACCTTATGTACACAGACATTACGAATGAGAGTACATGTCTTGTGGCACTACTATGGAGTCGACTCGTACAATCGTTCGTCTTGCACTGGCAATTACATTCCATAACTGAAATATGTAGGGCATTTCATTGATAAGTCAATGGTAATCCAGCTTCCAATAGGTATACGAATGTACATAACATGCACCAACACGTCTAGTATAATAACTTCCGTTGCCGGCTGGCTAGTCTTCTGGACACAAGAATGGAGCATCCTCTGGACGTTTGTATTGGGGTCCGGATATTAGTATGTGCAGTGATCTTAGCCTTTGACATCGTAAGCGCCACGGTTGAGAAGAGCAAGAACATTATGTCGCATTAGTAGGATTCAGATATTAATACACTGTATGGCTCCGATGTCTAGTAACTGAATCACCACTACGATATGCCCGTAGGTGATCGAGAACACTGCGCCGGGTCCCTGGCCCGCCGTACTTATCTGCGGCTATCTGCCTCTGACCCCGAGTGGGGATCGTCCGAGTTTCTGGTACGGGAACCATCAAGGCATCAGCAATCGCACAAATCTCGTACAGCTCCGCCGCAAACGCCTGGCGGACTGCCGATGCACTAGTAACGGGTGAATGAACGGTGGATGCATATTCCTAGCATTGCATTCCAACCTATCTGTCCGACCTCTGCCTCGGTCATCATTTCACTAGTTCCGTGTACTCTTGCGCGCCCCATTTCTCGACTTTGAGTAAACGCCCGTAGGAAAGCCGTTCCATAGTAGTCAGTCCCCCAGAAGAGACCACTTCAATGGTCTTTCGTCGAAGGTCATGGAAGCCCCATAGACTGGCAAGCCCGAGCACAGATAACCAATGGGGAACCCCGAGAGCCACCGGCGGCTCTCCTTGGCTGTAGTTACATAGATTCGTCAGTAACGCGTAGCCTCGCCTCATGAAATTGCCGACACATTGGTGGTACGCACTAATTGGCTGCGACCGCGACTCCGAGGAATCGCTCGAAGTCAACCTTACTTACGCCATCAAGCACGATGGGGTTCTCGTCGCTTTGCCCCGCTGTAGGGTCAGCTCCAAGCTGAAGGTCGAGGAGTTGGTTGAACGTAGCCGAATTTGCCTTCAAGTAGTTGGTTGGGGCCATAAATAGCTCATCTTCCGCCTGCAATAAGTACCAGGTCCATGTCAGTCCAGACCATTACTACAAACACAATCATGGAACTTCGGCATACTTGAAAGGCGGCAAAGTCTATATAGAATGCTTGGTTGCGAACGGTGCTTCGGCGATGATAGAAGGCATGGCCGTTTGTTGGGATGGACGTGTTCATCTTGCCTACTTATATACCAAAGGATGAACAAAGGGGAGCTACAAGTGACGTCTAGGACCAGGGCCCGTTCAGCATCAAAAGGATTTTGTTGTAGGTAGTCGGTCGATGTTCTCGTCATAGTTGCTTTATACTAGTCGCCTCGTGGTGGCTAGGTGCTAAGGTTCTGACCCCATCATGTTTTCGTATCTCGAGGGGATTTGAGCGGAATATTGTGGATTGTAGATGCGGGAGTCGATCAGTTCGTCCATCTTGCTGGTGGTAATCCGCAATATTCAATCCGCAATATTCAATGGAACTAATGTCCCATTTGCTTGCCGTACTATGCATATGGTCATCAAAAGCACAAAGACCAAATACGAATGCACCTACGAGCTGGTTAACTACCTCCATGCCGCCTCGAAGTCTTCCGGACATGGTGAAATATTCATCTGAAGTCAGAGCGCCTTCCGCAACAAGAATACAACTAATCCTCATCCGTGCAATGATATTGCGCACGGTATCCGGTAGGGAACTGATATTGCCACTAATCCTCATCCGTGCAATGATATTGCGCACGGTATCCGGTAGGGAACTGATATTGCCACTGGAAGGTTATTGTTAGCGCTGCACACTGAGTGAAACAGTGTTGTACGGTCGGTGACCAGGAGTGACTAGTCAAGGTCAGAAGTACGGTCAAAGGTCGGGAAAAGTCACTGACCGTAGTTTCTGACCTGACCTTAGATGAGTGTGGGAATCGGAGTTAGTGCCACATATGGTAGTATCCTGAACCGCGAGCTTTCCCCTTTTCCCCCTGATACCACCTCCTAGCACCCTCTCCCAATGATTATACCACTACTGTAAATCATCGAGCCAATATTGTAGCGATGTAGGACTAATTGAAGCACCATACATACTGCTCATCATCCCCCAGATATAAGTAAGGTACAATAATTCATGGTAAGAATTATAATTGACAGTTCCACCTATCAGTCCATCCATGCCTCCCAATCCTTCCTGGTAGCGAGATCTCTTCATCGACCATCTCCGAGCGAAGTTGTAAGCACACTGATACAATTCAGGGTGATAAACCCAAGGCAATAGTCCTCCAAACATTGGATATCTAGCTATCAGCACAGCTCTTCCCGCAGCTTTGATGAGGAGCTTGAGTTCTACGACATGCTTAATTTGGATGCAGATGGCGAGGTGGACAACGAGGTACTTGATACTACATTAGATTCAATTTTGTTATCATAATAATTACTGTTTAAACTACCCCCTGAAACCCCTGGCCTAGCTGCCTCCGACTGTGGAAAAGGTTAGGTCAAGGTTAGGTCGTAAGGTTACTGACCTTTCCGACCTTGCGACTTTTCCTGACTTTACCCTGACCTGCACAACACTGGAGTGAAATCATTGACGTACTTGTGTGTTCCCTTTCTACCGGACTCGGAAAGGTGAACAGAACAAGGAAGAGAGTTAGACTATGTACATGTTATTCCATTATTCGTATGCGGTACACAGATGTGCGTATCTACGTACTTGCACAAGATAATAAGACTTTTATATCGTATACCAACACTGCTCCTCGACGAGGCAAAGGAAGAAGAATAGATAAAGAAACAAGGACTCTGCGAAAACTTATGGGAATAAAGATGATTTCAACCAAAGCCCAAAGCGCAACGCGCACCCCCCACATCGTCGACATTGAAGGAATCGAAGCAATGAAGCAAAAAAGCATTTTCCTTTTCCAACCACTCGTATACATGCATTGCTACAAGCGAGGGGTAGAAAAACAAGCAGCCGGGTCTCAGAATTGAACGCAACCAACGGACAAGGGAGGGTGACGAGCGTATATATGGTACTTGTATGGGTACTGGTAGGAGGTACAAGGAGGAAGGAAAGGGAAAGGGGACATTAGTTCGTGTCCGTAAGATAGGAATAAACATGTGAGGGGGCATAGGTGTTCAAAAGAGGGACGGAGTTGGACAAGAGAGTGATAAGCACATCGAGAGAGCAGGCAGAGATAGATAGAGAGCAAAGAGAGGGTGGGGTATCGATTGTCGGCGTCGAGGATCGTCGATGGGTCGACAAATACATATCTGGGGTGGTTGTATTGATATTTTCTTCACGCAGCAGCGGCGACGGGCTCGGCACCATCAACATGCATGCCGGGCTGCAAATGTCCTTCGTCTCCCTCTAGATCACCGTTAAGATATGCTTCCCCGTTCTCCAACTCCAAATCTCCATTCATGTCTATCCCTGCACTGTTCGGTGCACTGTTGTTGCCGCTCGCATTCCGCCTGCCGTGTCCTCCTCCGTTCACATTCCCTCCACTCCGGGGTGGATTCGCGCACCGATCCTTCCCATGTGCGATCCTCAGCCCCTCGTACTCCTTCTTCCCCTTGATCCCCTCAATTGCCTTGATCGCGTTCCCCACACTCGTGAAATTGACAAACGCGCAGTTCTTCTCCTTCAAAAAGTTGACCAACTCAATCTCCCCATATTCGCCGAAATCGCGCTTCAGCTTCTCGTCGGTGAAGACATCAAAGTCCTCGATGTTGCCGATGTAAACATTGCGAGTAGCACCGCTGTGAACGGCGAGAGCGAGTGTTGGAGGAAGAGGGCCGGAATTCTTGCCCCAACCGATTTTGAGGCGTCGGTTGTTGAGAGTAAGACCGTTGTACGACGATACTTGGAAGAACGTCAATGCGGCAGCAGGGTCGATGAATGTAACAAACTACACAAGAAGCATGTGTAAGCAGGCTTGAATGAATGATGACGACACGGAACACTACTCACGGCAATATGTTTGTCTTGCATATACCTGATGCTCTGCAGAACGCCGCCCCTGATAGCGTTGCACAGATCTTCCGTCGAAGTCTCGGGGTGGATATTACCCAGGTACACGGTCCTGTTCATCCCTTGACCGACGCCACCCATACCGTTCATGGCACCTAAGCCATGTATAGCCATTCCATTCATGGCCATCATGCCATTCATCCCTCCATTGGCCATTCCGCTCATGTCAACGCCATTAGGCGTGAACGGCGTGTAAGGGGAGAAAGGCGAGAATCCGGCAGATTGCGGAGAGGATAATCCAGCGGATTGGGCGACAAGAGTTTGGGCCGCAACAGCTTGAGCTTGTTGCGCCGCGACTTGCTGAGATTTTGGCACGTAGGCGCAACGATCTTTCCCATAGTTGACGCGCTTGCCGGCCCAGGCGGGCTCAGTAGGAAGCGTGTTGACAACCTGAGAAACGATCATTAGAATCACCATTCAGGCAGTTGAACAAATCGAAACCTCACCTTCGTAGCTGTAGCGATGCTCAAGAAATGGACAAAACCAATGTTCTTGTCTCGGACGATCTTGACTTGATCGATCAATCCGAACCTGCTCAACTCATCTCGCAGCCTCTCCTCTGTCATACCCTCCTCCAAACCTCCGAGGTAGACGTTTCTACTAGCACCGCTCTGACTGATCGCCAAGGCAACTTGAGCGGGTACTGCGCTAGCCTTCCCCCAACCTATCTTCAACTCCTGCCCGTGGAGACTGAGTTTCTTGATCGTCGCGTCAGCATGGAAAGCGGCTGCAGTTGCCGGATCTAAGAACGACAAGAAAACGCAAGACTTTTCGGGTAGCACGCGGATGTTTTCCAAGGGTCCGAAGTGGACGAGATTGAGAAGTTCGTCGACAGACGCCGTGGATGGAAGATTGCCAATGTACACGGTGCGCCCGGTCGAGTTCGAGGGCGAAGTAAGCGCTGCAGATAGGGCATTAGGAGAATAGGAGGCTTGGGCGGCCGGGATGTTCAGGGAAGGTAGACGGGATTGGTTATTAAAATTCTGACTATTGTTAGTGCGTTGCCAAGTCAAAGATAACTATTAATTCACCTGTGCGAAGTTGCCCATTTGGCCGTTGTATGGGAATCCAAGCATGTTCATTCCGGGCAATCCCATTCCGAGCATGTTGTACCCACCGAATCCGTTGGCGTAACCATTTAGTTGTCCGTTAATGCCGTTGGCTTGGGCTTGTTGTTGTGCCTGTGCCTGCGCTTGTTGTTGCTGTTGTTGCTGCTGAGCGGCGAAAGCATTTGCAACGCTCGGGCTCAGCTGAGGCATACCACCAATTCCATTATGAGTATTAATGTTTAAACTGGGTGTGGAGTACAATGGAGACCCATTAGGGAAGTTGGCTGATGAGGGCGACGAAGCGAATTGCGGCTGGTTAATGGATGCCTGGGGACCGTAACCGTAATTGGCGAATGCGTCTCGGGTAGCGGATTGAGGGTGAGAACCGTTTGTAGGGGAGGTTGAAGGGAAAGACGAGGTCGGGGACCAGCGTGGTTTTTTCGCGTCAGGAATAGAAGGGGCCTCCATTGAGCGCTGGATAGATAGTAACATATTAAAGATTAGTTAACGAGAGGATAGAAAGAAAAATTAAGAACAAGGGGAGGAGGAAAAGGAAGAGAAACGGGAGAGCGATGTGGCGGAATGGGCAAGATGTAGTGGGAATGAAGTGACGTGAAGAATGATATGCCAGCAGAACTCACCTTCATCATGTCGATGTCAAACCCGTACGTCTGATAATGGGTAGCGAAAGCTGACTGAGAGTCATCCATTTAGAAGGAGTGTGTTGGAGGGAAGGGTATGTTTTGCAACGGTATATATGTATAAGGATATTTTGAAGGAGCGGGAGGATATAAGGATCGTGTGGGTTGATGGACTGAAAAAAGAAGGGACACGCACAGAAGATGAGAGAAAAAAGTGTGACTACGGTAAAGCACAACTGCAAAATTGCGTCGGTGAAATCCAAGGGAAGGGATAGGGAACCAACGCAAGTAAAAAAGAACAACCAATGAAGGGGAGCGAGAGACACGACTGTCTTGAACGAAGAAAGTCTAAGGGAGATCATTTCCCACAAGGTCGGTTTCATCAAAAACGCACGGACCACCACGAGCGTCTACTTGTCAGGAACGATCGTATGAGTATCTCGGGTAGCTGGTGAGGCCAAGGCGCATATACCCTGAGGAGATACGAGGAAGCACCCAGGAGCACCGATATTGACTGAGGGAGGGATGGTGGGTGGAAGGAAAGAATAAAGGTCTTCCTCACGTCGTTTATATACGAGCGCGCTGTTATGGTTTGTTTGTAGGCTGAAAAGTACAACCAAGTAGAATTTCATTGACCGGCACCGATGGAGACCTCAGGACACCAGCGACGACGGTGCCGGTGAGTAGTCACGTGGGTGTTCCCGTCAAGTAAAGGTAAGGCGGGAGGCGCGGGAAACAAGGCGCCAAACTATGTCACGTGTCGCGTGGCTCTGAACTCAGTGAACAACTGACTGCGCGGTTGTCGCCTTCACTTTCTCAAAGTTCAGTGCGCTCAGTGGCCTTTTGAGGGCTTAAAGGTAAGCTCGATGCTCGTCGGACGTACGCTCTAAATCAACAGCATCCACAGTCCACCATGGTCTCTGGCACAACCCATGCCTTGCTCTCCTTCGCTGGATGGTCGGTCATCCCAGACATGGCCACTTCCCGCCTCCTCCAGTTCGTTGTAAACCCCATTCTTTTCACCTACTTCAAAATACCGCCTCCATCACCCCAAATATTGCGGTCTACCCTCCGCTACCGGCTTACCTTTGCGTTTGTTGTCCTTTCATACCTGGCGTACTCGTTGGTGCAGGGGGCGAACAGCATCGAACGGAGCTTCTACGAAATGATGCAAGTGAGCGTAGATGTTGACGAAGCAGGCCTGAAGGCTGCTTTTAAGGGCTTCGCGAAGAGGTATCACCCCGATAGGCCAGGTGTGGGACGAGACGGGGAGGAGTTGTTCATGCGTGTGCGAACAATGTTTGAGGCGCTTAAAGATCCCGTCGTGAGGTTCGCGTACGATAGGTGCGTTTCGATCATCTGGGATATATCTCTTGATCCTCACTCACAAGTGGCAAATATTCAGATTCGGCCCAGACGTGCTGAAGTGGGAGAATCTTTCGACGGAGAGGGAATACCTCAGACACGGCCTGATCTACAATTCCGGATACCATATAGTTACCTTCCTGGGGCTGCAGTTCTGGTCTGCAATCGGCGACCCGAGCCCCGTCGCTTTCGTGCGTATCCACTCTTTTTGCTCATTGCGCTTCCACTGAGATTCCGCGACAGTGGCGCTACATGCTCTACCTATCCATCCTCGTCTCGGAAGTCAGCCTCATCCTTAGCCCCTCACCCATGGTCTCTTCCTCTTTCACGTCAGCGTTCCCCGACCCAGCAATTTCGCCGGCACCACAGACCCTGCTCCACATCATCTTCCCGCAGCGCGTGGCGTACCAGCACATCCTCTTCCTGCACCACCTCTTCGTCTTCCTCACAATCGCCCTCTCGCGCGTCGCGCCGATGCTCTTCCCATCGACCGACATCACAAGCTTCCTTCGTGGCAAAGGCGGCAAGATGTTCATGGACAAGCTGAACGCTATCGCAAGCGTCACGGACAAGGAAACATCTATCATGCTACACACTGAACTGCACTCCGCTCACCCGTTGAAGGAGGCCGACCTCGATGCGGATCGGCCGACGCTCAGCAAGATGCGACCGATGATTGAGTTGGACGACGATGTGATGGAGGCGCTGACGAGGGAGATGCGGGACATGATCATTGAGGCGAATGTCAGAAAGGAGACGGGGCCTATACATCGCGCATGGAAGGATGCTATTGCGAGGGGGAGATCAGCGGCGCGGTCGGCTATGAGTATGATAACGAAAGACAGGCCTCTCGGTTCAGAAGAAGGGAAGAAAGACAGCGGTGACGCGGATGGCTGGGAAGGCTTGAAAGGTGAAAACAAACTCCCGTCACCTAGACCGTCACCACCGCCCCTGGTTTCCCTTGCCCCCCGCCCAACCGTCAATCGCAGAGCATCCGGTTACGTGAGAGCCAGGAGCGTCAGCTATTGAGTGGCATTCTGGGCTTGTTGATTTATTAGAGCCATACTGATGCTGTAACTATGTATAAAGACTCATCCACGACTCGGTCTGCATTGAGCCGATCTAAAACCCCGTTACAATAACTACTATACATCAATTGGGTAGGAGGACAGAGATACTAGCACTGAGGAATCAGCACAAGGGCACGAACAATAACCGAATGTCGGGGCCCTCAACAATCACCTCCATCTTTGCTTTCCTCTTCGGTCTTGGGGCTGGAAGGCAGAGGCCGACTTCGAGCTCCTCACTGCCTCAAGCGTCATCTATATCAACGTCCTTCAAGCAAAGGGATTCACACCACGGGGGCCCAGATCGAGGGGTTGACATCGACAAGGTGGCAACTCTATCTCGTTGGAAGCGATCGAAGCTAGCAGCCACTGGTCTGTTGGTGATGGTCTCCGTCGCGGCAACGATCCGCATGGTAGGCATTTCGTCAAACATTTCCTGTGCCCTAGCGACATCGAGGCGTTCGACACCGCCCGTGATTTGGGCGTAGCGCACTTCGATTCCGCCTATCGCGAGGTCATTGAGGATGTGCGAAGTTGGCTGTAACATTATCTATATATTTCAGGTTCTTACACTGTTGGAAGGTTGGGGGGACTTCAATACGTCTTCCACGAAGAGCGATATGACCTGTTGTAGGGCTTGGGCCGTTGTGATATCGATGTCCACGAGAAGTTTTAGAAGGCCTAAGTGGCGAACCTTCCTACCAGGGATGATCGCTGCAGCGAGCAACAGCGGGGCGTGCAGATAGCAAAGATGGGGCAGGGCATCGTCGGGGAGGTTGACTATCACGCTGACTCTTGAATCGAACCTCAGCTCCAGATGTTCGAGTGTAGGCTGGGCCACAAGAAGACCTGTCAATGACCTGAAGTCTACCCCACGACGACCATCGTATGTCTATACGAAATGCGTCAGTTGAAAAGGCTGGAATCCTATGTCATCGAAAGTGATAGTCCGACTGGCGGATAGGATGCTGTACTTGGTGATTAGACGCATCAGGAGTAAATTCTTCGACGCAGCCAACCAATCGATTCTCATCAGCAAGGAGTCTGTTAAGACAGGTGTGGAGGCAGTTGCCAGAAAAATTACCGGTCAAGCGGATAGATTTGTATATCATGCGGGAAACGAAGTGGTCGTCGATCTCCCGAAAAATGGCATAGAACTCTAGTATGTCTGGCGGACCGGAGCTGGAGTCGATGGTTGAACTAAAATATAAGTACACTGATAAAGAGCAAAAAAAGTCATATATCCACGACGTCTGCCAATGTGAGTGATTGCAGCATAAAAGAGCCCATCGGGGAAACTTATGAGTCGGGACTCGCCGACTCGGATGGAGGTTTGGTAGAGTCGGAACCCTGTAATAGACGCCGGTTGTCGATCATGATCGAGTTCAATGAAGACATTCTGGACGTTATCTTCCTTGACGCGGACGGTTGAGCTACGTCCTGGACTAACATTAGTAGATGAAGAGATAGAGAGATATAGGAGTGCATTTACAACGGTGGCTCAGATATAAATATGTGCAGAGCGTCCAAGTACAACTAGAATCTCTTCGAGTTGGCGTACATTCCTCCGCCGTATCCACCGCCACCCATGCCACCAAAGTTTCCTGCACCAGCAAACGCCTGCCTCCTCTTATATTCAAGATACCCATAGTACCCCCCAACGCAAACACCAATGAAGAGGAAGATCTTGAACATTGAACCAAACCACGAACCCTCAGGGTCTTCGTCGTCGCTTGTTCGGAGGGAAGGGAAGACGGATTTGGATTTGGTCTTGGGTTTGGCAGGAGGAGCGAGGATGGCGGACGAAGAGGTGACGCTGATAATACTGTGAGGAGAGATAAGTGAGCAATGTGTGACTTCAATGGTGCAGAAACACCTACTCGTGGGCGTCAGAAACGTCTCCCGTCATGGCAGAGAAGCCAATGAAAGGCGCTGAAGGGAGGGTGACATTCTCAACATGGAAGCAATCCGACCAGTCATCCCCTAAGACTCAAGTTAGCGCATTATACCAAGCCAGCATCAATGTCACGCACAAGCCTTGTATTGGATTTTGACCTATAAGTAGCGTATCAGCAAGTGTCCCAATTATGGAGTTCGTGGGCGACATACGTCGAGATATTTCTCCTTGATGTAGGTAATCTTCAACTTGGTGGCGACATTGGTTCGACGGAAGTTTGCCTATTTCTTCATCAGGCATTTCTTCGCTACACGTGAACTAGGTACTCACTGAGCAACCGCCAATGCTGGAGTCGTCGCCATCATTTCCGTAGTCATACTCCGTCTTACCATCACCGATAGTAGCTGTGACGTGGGGGAAAGAATAAGAATGCCTTGAGTTGGCGTATGTATCGAGGAAGATCCCAAGCCCCTCAAATTTATCTATTCTCCTTTAGCGAATCTACAACGGAATGCCACCTCTCAAACTGACCTTTGTTGCCGAAGATTGGACCGGGTTGAGCGCGCTCTTTAGCGATCCATACAGCGATACCGTCACCGAACAGATGACTTGACTCGCCCGATATCTGCCATGTAAAAGTGAATATAGAGGCGAGCCTTGCACAGACGCGCACGCACTTTGAACTCAACCTCGATTATGTAGTTCGTTGATGTCAATGGCAATCGTGACCATAGCCAACCCTGTTGAAAAACTTAATGAGTTGACCAGCTGTTGTTGGCGTGAAGAGGAATACCATTTGGGACGGCGCCGGGCGAGTAAGTCGGACGTGCTTATTCGTATTCTGCCGGGTTACTATTCAATTATTGCGATTCTTCACAAGATTGACTCCGTACGCACCACATATGAATCAGCACCAAAGTCCCACCATCTGACGAGCCATTTGGATGAGCATTCGATACTTTGGGATTGACTACGCACCTATTTTGGAGGTCTTGGTCGATGTACGGAGCGTATAAGGAATGTGTTCGAAGTTGGATCGTCTAGCGGGTAGAACCCACGACCAATCAGTAAGTTGGCATTCGTCAAACCCATAATAAGAAGGAACAGCGACCAGAAACCCAACGAGCCTTCTTTGTGTTACAACAACACTTGAAGTCGCGAAAGCCCTCGGAAATCGTTCAGAAGTGTCCCCTCGCTCGCTGGTCTTCCCCAGGTACAACATTGTGGGATTCGTCCTTCATCAGAGAACCAGCTCGGCGCCCTTCAGCAATACTCCGTTCTTGGATTTTCACTGGCTCGGGGCACATAATTGTGCAGAGAAATCCCAGCAAGGCACTTCAAGCGACAGCAATTTCGCTCAATACTCACTCGTTCAATCGTGTGGTCGCCCACTTTTGAGGGCTTGTCCTCCGACTCGGCCATTGCAAATGGCGAAAGTAAAGCCAGAACCAGTAGGAGCAGTGTGGTACACCGCGACGCCATTGCTGTAGAAGTAGAAGCGCTCCGGAGGGCTTGAGTCTTTAGGTTATGGGGATGTGATATGTGCGCTGGCTGTCGTGTGCCAGGAAGCTCGTCGTCGTAGTCGTTCTGCAAGTCAGGTTTCCGTGCACTCACTGATATTGGCGTCGTCACGTGGATGGAATGCCACGTTAGTATTCAGGGGCAGTCAGGGGGAAATTCATCTTCGCCATCAAGTCAATCGTCTCAAGATGGTTCGCATACACAGTACCTGACCGGGACCAGCACGCTTGATATGCGGCTTTGGCTATAATTGCGCCATTACTGATTGCGCTGGATCCGAATTCCAAAGCTGTTTCACTGCCTTGGCCGTGGTTCGTGCTGTGCTCATGTCCGGGGCTCCGAGCACCACTGGGAGCAATGTCTGACAGGCGAGTGCAGCTCTGTACACGTCGTCCAGCCACAACCCAGGACGCTTAAGATATCCTTGGTGTATTTGGGTTCGCGTGGAATTCGCTGTCCGAAAGCTGTTAACGATGCGGTAGTTTCTAAATACTACTTTTACCACCCTTAGTGTCTTACTAACCCAGATGCCACTGCTCTACAGCATTTTAAAGTTGAGTGGTGCCCATGATACAGAAGTTACCCATTTGGACCGCAGGAGCACAATGGGCACTGCCAAGTTTTGACCTTCGCCCCATGGTCTCCGTGTGGCGGCAGCCTTGAGCCGCAGTGCACATATATAAAGAGTCGAGGGTTTCCCGGAATCCTCATAACATCCCTTGGCCCCATTTGCAATAATGTCGATAGCTATGAACACCAAGGATAAGTGAGTACTCGTTCTGACCAAACGTTTGATCCCATCCTGACGTTCCTGCAGACAGAGGGAAACACAACAAAAGGGGAAGCACATACAGTTCGACGAACCTGAGGTCGATGAAACACGCCCTCGACTACGTCGGAGGCACTCACATCCCCTGCGTCTCCAACTCCACAGTATGTCTCCAACCTTGTTCCCAAAGGTGCCACCCGTTCTCATCGCAATATCCAGTACAAAGCGCATCTGATCTCCCGTTGCTGGGGCGTAGACGCAACCAACCCCCCAATGTCTATGTCAAAGTCCTACTTGATGACAAGTTGTTCTTTCGGACGCGGACTATCAAGGGATCGAGGAATCCCTCTTGGCACGAGAACAGTCCCTCGTACGTGCCTTCGGCTCTGCCTTCCGCTAAGCCTAACTCTCAATCAATTGAATAGCATGGAGATGGGCGAACATGCGGTCATTCAGCTACGCCTCATGCACAGAACGCAGTGGCCAGGAAGTGACATTTGCCTCGCCCGATCTTCACATTCCGTTCTAGATATCATGCAACAACAACAGATATGCGACAAGGAGCATGGTAAGCATCCGTCTACCTACCAGTTACGGTGCCGTTAATTGAATATCGCTTAGTCTTCGAGACATCGCTTGAAAGCCAAGTTGACGGCTTCACGCCGAAGATTTCCATTGGACTTAGGGAGCTAGCATCCGAGAAGCATATCCCAGAGCTAATCTCTGAAGCGAAGGCCAGGGCGGAAGCCTACAGGATTTCGTTGATTAGCCTCACGCCTTCCCTCAAGGATGCCTCGTCAATGACTGATAGTGACAACAGCCCAAGCACGTCATCTAGTGGGCTGTCTGAAGTCAGCATCGAATCAGTTCCGCAGTGATGTCCCCCGCTGAAGCACGATACAAATGAACGCGTTATTTTTTGGATTTACGAACAAGGGAATTTTGATACACGACGGGAGTTTCATCTTGGTTTTTATTTATTTCAATAATTATAATTTACTATTGTATCCTTCTCAAGTATTTCGGCGGCATCGTGACACCCTTGCATGAAACGCACAAGAACGATTTCTATCATTGGATTAAGGGAGAAGGACGGTGCAACACATCCGATCGCCCAGTCGTGACAAGTACATTTTACTAAACTACCAGCGTGGAGGAGCATCATGTCATCAAGCAGGGAGCTCGAATTTCTGCCCCTGAAGCACCCTATGCGACGTGTCAACTTGGTGAGAAACATTCAACAGGCGAAAACTTACTTCGTGAAATAGACATAGAAGAAGTCGAGGTACAAGCCAGTCTGGACGATACCAGCCGTCACTGCGATAGGATCAATGACACCCTCCGTAAAGTACCTATTACCAGCTTAAATATCCGCCCTTGACGTTAATATACGAGTAGAGCTTACCTGTATATCCAATTAGGGATATAGAGGGCCCGGTAGATGCCTAGTGCCGCAAGGTAATGGGTGGTGATTGCTTCAGCTTCGCCCGTGCGTTGAAGCATGAACAGTTGGGGAAGGATAGCGACGGACTCCAGGAAGATCGAGAATGACCATAGGATTTCGGTAGGCATAAAGTTGTAGTTGAAAATCAAGGACAGGATCGCGCATGGAACCAAAAGGTATTCAATCCGGAAAGTGTCGATTGAAGGGTCGTTTGTTGGTCTGCATAAAATATCAGCGAGAGTCCAAGATACCATCCAGGCGCGGTGCTTACCTGTACCTGTACTTCATTAGGTAGAGGATATAACAGCTGCTTCCAATAAAGAAGACTTTCATGGCACTGTTGTAGAGGGAGATATATCGCCAGAACAAGTCCAAGTAGCGTGCTACGAAGACCGCGACATATAGAGCTTGCGTCTTAAACGAAATGCCTGTAAAAACGACGCCTTGTTGAGTACACTGAGTAGAAAGGGCCCTCATTTCAGCCGTCCGCTGGAAACGAGTCCCAGAAAGCCACAGCGAAGAAACTGACCTCGACATGACCGTGACGTCTGTATTTTATGCAGCAAAACTAATATCGAGGCCAAATGAGACAAGTCGCCTAGTTATCAGAGTCAACAGTGAGTTCGCGCGCAATGTGGCGGACAGCGAGCTCACCCAGCAACCGGAAGAGATTCATTGTGGGCGGGGACTACAAAATGACGGTGAGGGCAAGTGGTGACAGCGACGTGTTCGACTTGAGGGGTGCAAGAGTTCGGATGACTAAGCATGCTCTGTTCCTTCCCACACGCTAACCTGACGGGCGCCTTTCACCTCTTCCCTTCCTACCACGTCGACAGACGGCGAAATGTAACGTCAATGACAGCAGAACTGACCGGTGAGCCAATATCCGACTCTTCTACTTCGCCAGGATGTTCTAGTAAAAGGGTCGATGTCGGATGCCCAATTTCCTGCCCAGAAACCGCGAACCGTGCTTCACTTCCTTCAGACGAGATAAGAGCCCCCACAAGGTCTATTTCCCGATGGGCCATCTCGAGAAATCAATGGCGCCGTCGTAAGGCTAGACCAATATTTTCGCCGAATGGGATTCGATGAAATCTGCATTTGGGACTCTACGTTGGCTGTTCTGATCTGAAGCAAGACGGTCGAACTGCAAAGGCTGAGTCCTACATTGGGGGGTTCCCCGCGTGTCGTAGCTGAGCCCGTGTAGAACACGTTTTCATTTTGCACTGGGTGGTCTACAGATGTGGTTTAATCTTCTGACACCATATACTTCGCTTGCTTATAAGCATCTGGGCTCAAGGCCAACGCACCAGGTGTGTGGTTGTATGCACAAATGGGAGGCTCAATCTCAGGAGGGTGTGATGCGTTGGTACGGCTGCGTTTAGGGCGGGGGTCGGTCGCCGACGATATGAGAATATCTTACAAGTCTGCTATGCAGCACTGAGCTCTCGTCTCTTTTCTTGCATTCAGCTTGGAAACATAGTCTAATTCTACTTCGTTTTGACAGGATTCTTGTGTCTTGTGGACTATCAACAAGGAAGATATGTGTATCGTAATAGATGCTTGTTACATTACTTGCCGGTCACGTCGAACAACCTCAGCCGCCAATCTCCTTTTCTCAGATCGGGCTTCGTGATTTTAGCCGTAGGCTCGATCAGTCTTCTCTTCTCTATCTCCTCCATCCTGGTTGCCCATGTATCGCCGTTTGATTCATCAGGGTTATCAGAATCAGTTTTCGGTTTCGTCCATATATCCTCGAGAGTAGCGAGCAACTCCTCCTCGAACTCGGATACCTCTTTCTGGAGTTCGAGCCCCTCCTCCCTGTGCTCCGTCGAAAATTGGAAGAGGAAGGGTAAGAGTCCGTGTGCTTCGCCTTTGCAAAGACGATCGTTAGTCCAAATTGGTGAAAATGCCTGTATGGGAAGGACATACGCTGGGCGGTTTGAAATCTCGCGACAAGCTTCGTGATGGAGTTCAAGAGGTATTCCTCCTCATCCACAGTACCCTTTCTACCTGACCCGATCTTGCGCTCAGCTTTGCGCTTCGATCGCGAGCTGATCCTATACCCAGTTGAATGGCATAGTATCATGGAGCTATTCACTGCTTACTTGGATGCTCTGGACGCCATTGAAGGCGCAACGGTGTACCGAGTGAATGCAGTGGGGGCCATCGACGCGTCGGTCATAACATCCACGTTGGCAAGATTGCTATCTTCGGCTCCATAAAATGCGTCTACATACATACTGTTAGCATCACCAAGGACATCGATGATTTCTGATTTCTGACGCACCTGGCTCTTCCTGCTTCTTGATCCGCAACTCACGTATGCGGTTGAGCTGCTTGCGTAGCTGGTCTCGCATCTCGGTGAGATCATCAGAGAGCTGCGAACGGCTCTCCAGCGCCCCAGGGTGGATGACGTCTTTGACGAGCTCAGGCCGGCCGTGAAGGGAGGTCTGTGTCGAAGCAGATGAGCGAGGTGTTCGAGGACTGGTGGACGCGGTACATACGATACGCTTTGCCTCGGCGAAATGGTTGCCTTGCACAAGAGCGATGACAGCCTCACGGATATCCTTACCATAGTCTGCGAGCACCGTCGCGGCCTCTGCATATCGCTTCTTTGCCGTCAGCTCCTCTGAAAGGAAAGGTCTTGATTAGCCACACCGCGAGATAAGACATATAGTGGGACGATAATCGAACCTGCTACACGGTACGCCAGATCCTTGATACCTTCGCCCTTCGCGTCGCACCGGATAGCAATGTCGAACAATTCCTGCCATTCGAGAGCTCGTTCGTAAGCGACCATAGCCTTTGGGAGGTTGGACGCCTCTACGAATGCTGCGTATGACAGTCACTGGTAAGCCATCGTGCGCCAGAATCTTCTTAAACTGTCACCAACCTGCAGCAGCTTGGCGGAACTCACGCCGCTCAAATAACCAGTCGCCGTAGAGTTCGAGGATCGTCTACATGAGCATGAGTCATATCCAAACGACAGCATGGTAGTGGATATATTGAAACTCACATTATACTGATCGGTGTTTCTCCAAATCCCCAATGCGGCCTCGTGTAGCTGATGTTTCTCGATGTAGGCTTTGGCTTCGTCGAAGTATGGGCCTCCTAGTAGTGAGTAGTGAGTAATCGCTCTGTTAGCCAGTATTCTCTCATGATGACGACCAGTGGGTAAATGAGGATAACTCCGATAACTCACCACCAAGGCTCAGATTTTTCAACGCACTCGTATATCGCTTCAGATGATCGTCGATCTTGAACCGCTGGTAGTTCGTTTCCAGGGCCCGTAGCTCTCGCAGGAACGGGAGGTATTCTCTTGGGTCCTGATAAATCCTTGTGAGCAACGCTTCAATATGTGGCATATGTGGAGATGATACCGACCTTCTGCGCATGCTGCGCGATCATCAGGACAAGGGAAAAATCATACATGCCTAGCGCGATGTCGAAGAGCTTGTCCGCATCTACGAGGAAGATGACATATTTGACGGCTTCTTCCACGAGCTCTGGGTTGATGCCTAAAGAGAGGGGTTAGAGGAGACGGCACCACCATCTGCAGAAAATCTGACTCCGCAATTTTGGGAGAAGGCCTAGGGCAGCTTCATGATCTGGAGGAGACTTTACGACGCGGGCGGTAAGGATGGTGTTAACATATTTATTCAGATCGATGGTGGACAGAATTTCTTGAACCCTGTCGCACACCCTAGTAGTCACTTCCGGCGAGAGGGAGCCGTGGCTAACGACTATATTAGACGAGATGGAATCGGTTCATCACAGGGAGACTCACGATATGGTGGTCAGGAAGAGATTGATATAGTCCACTTCATGGACTTGCTCCAAAAACACAGATAGGTTCTCGAGGAAGTCCTCTTGATTGCTTTCGACGATCACGCTGAAGTCGATTCGATGTTTTCGGCAGGCGAGGAATGCCTTGCGGTAATTATGCCTAAAGAGCGTCAGCCTTCAGGGCGATGCAAGGGTTGGGATGGAGAAGTCGTACTGCGCGATATCCTGACGGACGACCTCCATCACCAATGGTCGCGGGTTGATGGTCTCGAGGTTGCCTCGGGGCATCTGCAAGACAAGACTCATCGAACTCGGGACTACCACGACGATACGCGATCCCCTCTCGACCCTCCGCTTCTCCCATTCGGGGTGTTTCCCCTCGCCCTTGCCCGCGTCATCCAGGAGCTGTGGCAGCGCACTCAGAGGTATGAATATACACTCGTGAGCGCTTGTGGTGAAGATGATGTATCCGGAGCCTACGGTGTACGATGTGGCGTTCGATGCTAGGAGAACATGTTGGTCGTGCCCAGCGGCGTATAGTTTTGCGGGGCTAGCATGTCCGACGATGATTCGATCCGACGTATCTGAAGCTGAAACCAACTGAGCCGAGAAGCAAAACTCGGGGAATCGGGCTACTGGCGGCGCCCCATCGCAAGCCACTAGATGTCAAGTATATAGACGATCACGAGCAGTTGACACGATGAAAGCACTTGCCTTCCTGCACTTCTCCTGTCGCGGATTGATACAAGATACCAGAATCCGTAGTGATGAGCCGTCCGCTTCTATTGGGAATTGATTGGGGTGCCTTCACGTTGACTGCACCTCCTTCAACGGAAACATCAACTAATACATCCATTCCGTTGTCGGTTACGCCGAGGATCAACAGCCTCAGCGTATTGTCTGGACCTTCTTGGGCTACCATCTGACGGGCCTTCGAGCAAGAATCAACTTTCCCTGCCCAGACCTGACTTGGCTTCATGACAGGACCATATCCTTGTTCGAGGCGCGTATTGAGGCTCCATACTTCGACGAAGCCGCTCTCCCACAAGACAGCAAGGACGTCTGTAGTGATGCAAAATGCGGTGTGCACGGGAACCTGAATTGGGTGCAAAGATGGATTCGCTACGAAGTCCAGCTGGAGGGAGGACATAGGAGGGGGTACATTCTGCATTCGGAAAGGTGTCAAGAGGATCTTGGCTAGAAGAATGAGTATGAACGGGAGAATCGTCATGGCATGACGGCGTACATCCATCAATTACGGCAACAGAGCCAGTGTCATTCGGAGGTTTACTATGTGAAGACGACGCGTCCCATGTGTATGTTCTTTCTACAAAATGGTCTTTCGGACAATTTAGCCGGGATGCCATTGATTTCGACGACGGTACGCACGATGAGTGGTTAGATGGAGGCACAAGCTTTTCTCAGGGTGCCATGACATCGAAGTGAATCGACTATGAGAGTTTCCCCAGGTAGGGGAAATGATTTCGTGCGTGAGATACCTTTGAGAAGAGCAATCAGCGTCAGTCCGTTTAACGTGCGGTGTGTTTTGCACCAGTGATAGTTCCCAATAGTCCATAGCTGGACTGAAATAGATAAGCTTACGAGTTACATCAAGTGAGAAGAGAAAATAAGCCTCACCAGTATCGCCCTTTTCATGCTCGATCCAAACAGCAAGAACACTAGAATCCGAGCTCCAAGCCAGGTCCCGAACATTGTATCCCCACTTTCTCGCACTTGCACTTTCGTCTACAGTGTTTTTGAAGCGCAAGCTGAATTCGCCATGTCGCAACCCATTCCTTTCGAAGAAGACGACATCGTGTCGATCAGATTTGCCGGCGCCACCACCCTCGAAGCCAAAGCGTTGCGTGCTGGCGATTATATTACCAGAAGGGCGCCACGCGAGCGGGTGCTCCAGCCCTGGTATTGGGTCCATCGTTGCCTGTAGCTTCGCCTGCCGATCAAACACCCGAAGGACGCGCCTTGGTAGACCCGTGTCGTGCGGCGTGAAAAATGCGGAAACGACGAAATACGAGCCATCACCCCGCCAGCTGATGCGAGGCGCTCGGTCGTCGTCTGGGCTGGAGCCGACATTGGATGTGGGCTTTTCTTGTGCGGCAGCCTTTCCCAAGGAGCCGTGGAACTGTGTTTGCTTAGATCCCCATCCGACATTTATGGGTGCATCTGAATTGCGAGTCAATAAGATGCGCGATCATCATCAGATTAGTGGCACCTTCTCCATAGTCTGCCGTATGCAAGGAGGCCTCCGATAGCACGTCAAACGCGGAGGTCATGAGTATGAGCTTCTCATCTCCTATACTGAGCGGTGTAAGTGCGAGATACTGATGGACAAGGATTACGAACCGGTGATGAGTGCAAGTAGCTCGTCGTCCGGGCCCCATTCTGCTGATAATATGCCTGCTTCGATGGACCCTTCGACTTCAGCCTGCGTACCGTTGATTTGCGTCAATGAACGCTCAAGGGCGGATAAATTTACCTCCTCTGTTTCTAGAGAGTAACTATGCATGTCCCCTCCGTGCAGGATGAGAATCAATTTGCGGGAATCGGGGAGGAAGCGAAAGGAAGTTATTTTGGTGGGCTGTTGCTCTACCGTGATTACATCCAACAATGTAGCATGACTCTTGCGATAGTGCAAATTGAATGAACATTCCATATGCAGAAGATGTTGCGTACCTGATGTTGTGCATCGGCGGCATCCAATTTTCGTATTTCTATTACGGTAGCGTCTTCGGATATAGATGCGATATAGACGGCAGCCTCGTCAAGATCTATGGCAGTTGAAGAGGCAACGGAATCGCCTAGTATAACTTCCGATGTAGATGATAATGATAGGTTCCTCATAACTTACCGGAGTCGAAGAGGTACGAGCGGGAGCACACCCCGAAATAGCAAGTCCATTAGCAATAATGCATAAATACTCGCAAACAGCTTGATCATATGATACACAATGCTAGGAGTCAGGGGGATTTCATGGCAACAATATTTACTATAAACTCAAGGATAACATGTGGTGATTTACCTCTGCTGGTGGTGCAAGATGGAGACGAGGTTAAAATACGCACACTGCACGGCGGACTTGGTCAAACTCAGACAACACTCTAGAGGTTCTGTGCACGAAAACTGAGAAGACTGTAACCTCGTGAGAGAGTGAATTTTAGGAAACGTGAATGAGCGTTCATGAAAATTGGAGAAATGGACAAGACGGGGGACTTGATAGAGAATAGGGAATCACTTTACCATAGCTTAGTTCTCGTACTTGCGTGGAAGAGATATCTCCGTTTGTTGTATGGGTTTGAGTTACTAACAACTTAGAAGCTATGAATCTGTTGTCTAGTAACTAAATTTGCTGCAAGCTTGAGTCACTGTAGGTATATATAGCTTTGTTGAAGTCAAAAAACTTCAATGCGAGTGTACCATTGGCGCGTCCCACAGATACATATTATACTGATATTATATACCACCTTTGGTGCTTCATCTTAACCGACAGCCTGAACATGGCTAATTCCTGCACCAGCGAGGCATGTAAGAAACTTGTAGTATTTATGAGTATAGATGAGTATTTTCCGGGCATCTTTATCTCAGAAGTTTCCGAAACCCTTGAACCACCCGTTCATTGGCTTAATTACACCCACGCGAGCCGGCCTGCCACTGCGATCGATGGTAACTTGTCCGGCCGATGATTTAGCTGATGTGGATGTCGGTTTCCAGGTGGCAAGCCACGTCTTCATGGATGCAAGCGCGTGGGTCTGAACGGCCGCAATAGTGGCGTCGGAGGCAGCTCTGGCGCTAAGGTCAGAGCAATGGAATCCATCTCCCACTGCAATTGGTTGCAGATCAGTGCTCTTGATATTGAGTCCCTGTGCGGAGACGGTCGCCTCACGCCATGGGTCACCTGGGATGAGGGGAGCTTAGGATCGTAGATTTCCGATGGTACGGTGGACTATGGATACTCACGCACGCCGTTGGCGAAGAAAAGGCGATCAACCTTGACGTTCCAGCCATGGTAGGCTCTATTCACGCGGTCGACGGGTATTGTTTTGGGCGGCCTTGGGAAAGCCTTTGGAAACATCAACGCGCATTGCCTCTGCAAAAGTAAGGGGCGTTTAGGGGCAGCTCCTAGACGTACTCGTCCACCTACCAAGTCAGCATTCGGTTGCACCAGGCGGGTGACTAGGCTGGGGGAGTTCGGCGGTGCGCCATCCTACAAATATTAGATAATTGGTTCACCAACCTAATAGCTGAAATGATGTTCACCTGCAAATATCCAACTTCATTGCAACTGGTATTTGTAGCATACGATCAGCTTGTTTCAGAAGGCCAACAAGGCTGTCATATCACTTACACAATCCAGAACCAGGAGCGATTGCTATTGTCTATTTCCGTGTCGGTATAGAATTCCTGGGTGGCATTGTAGCTTCCCAAACAGGTCCTTTGAATACGGTCAGCGCGAATTCCCAAACGTACGACGAAGCAAGTTTACGCACTCGGCATCATCTTTGCCACACACTTGGGGCCTGTTAGTACACTCCCAGTCTGAACTTGCTAGTATATACGTACGTTGTCTGAGATATCCATTCCGCCAGAACGCTCCCCAAGCAGGTAGCGCATGAGCCACGCCCCAGCCGGACGAAGTCGCGCTAACGCCATCCTTGACTTCGAGAGCATCACAGAATCTTGTAAAAGTAGTGTTGGGTCCGGAAGTTGGTTGGAGCGATTGCCAATCCCAAAGATTGTTTCGTACTGCGCGGAGTAAAGCATTAGATGGAATCTTCGCAGCATCTGAGAAGGTCACTCACAAGCACCGGCAACATCATCCAAATGTGTCATGGCCGTCAGGCCGAACGTATCCTTTATTTCATTAATGGCCTTTTGGTCCCGTCCCGAAAAGACTTGGTCGATATGGGTAATGACAGCCTCGACATCGGCTGAGCAGTTTACCGGCATATTTTGGCGGATTGGTTCAAAATAGCGCCAATAATCGCTGAAAGACGTTAGTCAACTCTCATGCAAATGGCCACGCCTGGAGTCAAACCCACAATATCGCTTCAACAACACCCGAGGATGCGTAGCCAGCAAAGAAGAAACCAGGCTTGCTAGATACACCAAAGTATCAGGTCTCCCCGTGAAACAGATAATATTCCACTAACTTGACCATCGTCCAGGACGTTAGAGCACCGGAGTAACTGCCTCCGATGAGGATCCACGGTGCCTTTCCGGGTGCAAGATTGTCTCCATTTGGCATAGGAAGTTTTACCGTCTTAGCGAAATATTCCAAGTCGTCGATTGCTTGCTGTATGGTGTGTAGACGCAAGCTGTCAACAGTGAGGTCAGGTTTGGGGTTGCTTAATCCGTAGAAGCGATGTTCTAGGACGATGGCTGCGCCACTTTGTTGTTGAGCAATGAGACCGTTAATAGTAGCGTTGGTGAGATAACCAGAATACGCTTAGAGAATGTTGTCAACGTCAACTTTGATTCAACACGAAGCTAAAAATATTTACGTTGAGCGTTGGCTTCTCCGGGCGTCATCAAAATAATCGGCCCTCCTGCGATGTCATAGTGAGTTCACGGCTCGGATAATAACCCGCTCAAATGCCCCCACCTGGTTCGTAGAACTCCCATGTATGCCAGAATCGCTGTTTGAACGTGCCAAGGCGGGGGTTGTTGTGGTCGATCAACTGGTCGAAGAGGAATGTCGTATTGTAGGGCGGCAATACCGTGCCATTACGACTGGTCACCGGTAATACTGTTTCTGGAGCTGTAATGACGGGAATGGCGGGGGTTGGTCGCATATTGCCATGAAGCCTGCCATCAGGTAGAATGGCGTGGACAAAGGACGACAGAGAGGTGGCTAAAAGCAAAAGTTTCGTGAGGTTTGTGATGGGAGCCATTTTGCTTCACACGTCCTCAACCTTCCTGCTCGACGCCCGCGGGCTTTATAGGCATTGCGGGCTTCGCTTTCGGAGTGGATAGATAAAAATACCCCCCCGTCAATATGAGGCTTCCTACAGCATGTGGTTCTATCTCGTCAGCGCTGAAAGCATCAGCGTGATCCAGATGGAAAAGAACCCATGAGAAGAATTCGCAAGTATGAGCGGATGCTACTCACCACACATGACGTCTAAAGATGGTCGTTCGTGAGCGTTCGTGGCCTCGACGACCATGTGTCGGTAGGCTAATAATGACATACCATGCTTGCCATTCTCTCGGTCGCGAGACCGTTCGACGATTGACAGGAAAGAGGTATTTACAATGGGGATAAGTGCCATAAACAGTTATCGCTGGTCTAATTGATGGGATTTAGCGGTTCCCTCTGACAGCTCCAAACAGTGTATGTAGTACTTCACGAGGCGCGTCGGATAAATTTCGATGGACGTTGAAACTGATAACTTTAGATCTGTTTTTTTAAAATCAGTGGAGTGTCCTGAAGAGAGATAGAGTATCGGACTACTTGCCGTAGAAATAAGAACAAACCTTTGACTTCGACTGGGAGGCAGGCGATAAGGATTCTCCGTCTCGCAGCTTCTGCACCGCCAGGCGGCGTTCCGCAACGAAATCTGCATCTGGAAGCTGAGCCGATCATGATCGACATTTTCCCTGCTCCTGGTGGGAATAATAATAGGGGCACAAGCTGACTCAGCAGGTTCCGTCCCAAGGCTTTCGGGGCTGCAACATTGCAGCAACAGCTCTCTTTCCTGCAAACCACCATCATATCTGGCATCGCAGACTTTTGATTTCCCAAGTTCCTCCCAGCGAAATCTTCACAATACCTTCTCCGTGCACCCCCCGCTCCCCGCTCCCAATCTTCTGTCGCGACAGAGGATTCATGCTTCGTCCGCCAATTGGTATACCCAAGCACAAAAGACCGTTCGCTGCTAATTCTTCTTGTAATTCTGTGAGCCATATTCATATATACACCAGTGTAGCTACTTACGTCTCGCAGCGCTAAATTCGACGCAACATGGCTTCTGCAGGCATTGTGAACATCCGTCGTGATGTCGACGACAAATTCTACCGCTACCGCATGCCCCTTCTGACCACCAAGATCGAGGGCAAAGGAAACGGCATCAAGACGGTCATCCCCAACATGTCTGATGTCGCGCGCGCCCTCAGCCGTCCCCCGACATACACAACCAAGTTCTTCGGTTGCGAACTCGGAGCGCAAACGTCCTTTGACGAGAGGAACGACCGCTACATCGTCAACGGCGCCCATGATGCCAACCGTCTTCGCGAGCTCCTGGACATCTTCATCGACAAATTTGTGCTCTGCAAAGCGTGCAAGAACCCCGAGACTGAGCTCGTCATCCTGAAAGTCGGGCGGTCGGAAGACATCATACGCGACTGCAAAGCGTGTGGCGAGCGCACGGGGGTCGACATGCGGCACAAGCTGACGACGTTCATCGTCAAGAATCCGCCTGTGAAGAGCAAGAAGTCGAAGAAGGGAGGCGCGGGTGGGGGGGCTGCTGACGGTGTTGGCGGCAACGGGGTGTCTCCTGTCCACAACGGCGGCGAGCACGCCGAAGGCGAAGGCACGCCTGACGGAGCCGAAAGTGACGACGAGTTGAGCAGGCGCATCAAGGCTGAAGCAGCGGAGCTCAATGACGACGCTGCGCTTGCCAAGGAGGATTGGTCTGCCGACACATCTCCTGAAGCCGTCAGAGCCCGTCAGGCACTCGAGGCGGGCGTCGCGAGTCTTGTGCTTGGGGGTGCCGACGATGATGCAAGCGACGAAGACGTCAACAGTCCGTACTCACAGCTCGGCCGGTGGATTGGAGAAAACAAAGATGACGATACCAAAGCCTTCAGTATCGCGGTGTACAAGAAGGCGGGGGAGCTTGGGATCGAGAAGAAGCACAAAACGGTCTTTGTCGTCGTACAAGCCCTATTTGACGCCGATATCGTGGCTCAGATCCCGAAATACACTGCGTTGCTTGCCAAGGTTAGTTATCTCACGATCGCACCATACATTTCAACGGCTGATCAATACCTCGCAGATGGTGACGTCTGAAAAGCATCAGAAGGCACTACTTGGAGGTGTAGAGCGCCTCGTCGGCATCTCGCATCCCGAGATGATTGCCAACGCGGGCGTGCCCAAAATCCTCATGGCTCTATACCAGGCCGATGTCCTCGACGAAGAAGTCATCACGCAATGGGGGACACATGTGAGTAAAAAGTACGTAGACAAGGATACGAGCAAGAGAGTAAGGAAGGCTAGCGAACCTTTCCTCAAGGTCAGTGCCCTCTCGTACATGTCAAAGGATGGCGACTTATTCATCGTCTCTAGTGGCTCGAGGAGGCTGATGATGATGAAGAGGATGAGTAGGACGGTTGAGTGCCCTGTAATATCTGGACACGCATCGCACAGATTCTAAGCACGATCCAATAGTTATCAAGCGACCGATGACAATCATAATTCTTGATTCGCTCTAATCAGCGGCATTGTACGTTGGAGGGCACGGAAGCCACATTATCATAGTGTAGTATCGAACCACTTGGTGTGTTACATGGACGTTCTTCTACTTCAGAAGAGGCCGAAAGACCTAAACCAACCATTCTGTGGCTTCCCCTCAACAACCCGTTCGGGGACGACTCTGTTGTCGATCGTCGGGGTGATACTCGGGGCAACGAACTCCTCTGCCTCAGAGGGCTCCCACGTTGACAGCCACGTTTTGAACGCAGCGAGGGCCTGCTGCTGCACCTCTGCGACGGTGGGGTCTATCGCTGACCTGGCGCTCAGGTCGGAGCAGTGGAATCCACTGGCCATGAGCCCGATTTGCTGCGTTTCGGTGCTGGGGATGTCCAGGCCGGTCGCGGACATGGTGGCGTCGAGCCAAGGGTCGCCTAGAGGAAGAGTGTTATGTTGATGAAAGGGAGGGGGAGGGGGGGACAGGCTTACGAGCACCGTTGGCGAAAAAGATTCTGTCGATTTGGACGTCCCATCCGCCATAAGCCGTGTTGATCTTCTCGACGTCGACGGTGGATGGTATTTCGGGGAAGCGCTGGGGGAACGCAAAGGCACATTGCCGCTAGAAATCATGATGAGGTGAGGATCTTGGACCAAACACATAAGGGACCGAAAAGACGAACAAGATCGTCTTCGACGCCGAAGATCCGACTGACGATAGTCGGTTCTCCCGCGGGGGCCCCGTTCTAGAGAGAGTCATGCTTCAATCTTTAATGCAGTTAGCTGCGCGTTTACCTGGAAGTAACCGACTTCGTTACACCTACATAGACACCATGAGGCTGGTGAATGCTTAGCATGAATAGAGACTTACACGATCCACCACCAAGAACGCCAGGAATTATCAATTCGGGTGTCGGTCCACCACGAAGACTTGGGGTCATGGGTCGTAAGGCAGGCGCTGTTCCGACATGTCAGTGCGGTCGCATCGACACAAAAAGTGCAGGCATTACTCTACGTCCCAACCACCGCAAACTTGGGAGGTAATATATCAACCTTTGGGTATTGAGACGGTGATGGGGCAGCGACTCACTTCCCCACAGGTAGCCGTTCTTCCAGTAATCGCCCCAGGCTTTGAGCGCGTGTTCGAGGCCCCAGCCGGATTCGGGAGCGGATTCGCCGTCTTTCACCTCGAGGGCGTCGCAGAACCTTCGGAACGCGGTATTGGGCCCGGATGTGATTTGCAAGGCCTGCCAATCCCAGAGATTGTTTCGTACTATATTTGATATGAAGTGTTAGGTGTTGTTCGAGATTGTTAGGGAGGGAGAAGCTCACATGCACCGGCGACGTCTTTGACGTGCTTGACGCCGCTCATTCCGAAGTTCGCTTTCAGCTCGTCAATAGCGGTTGTGTTGTCTCCGCCAAAGACTTCATCAACGTGTGCGATAACGGCTTGGACGTCCGCAGAACAGTTACGAGGCATGTGGTTGCGGATGGGCTCGAAGTATTTCCAGTAGTCTCTATATGTGTTTCGTCAATACCACGATCGCGTAAGAAGAGGCAAGAACCTACAGGATGGTCTCAACGACTCCAGACGAAGAGTGTCCGGCGTAGAACAAATCGGGTTTGCTGCCAATTAGTTAGAAAAGAGGCGATGTTCATGACTGATGGTCCTGCTCACGCGACCATAGCATAAGCAGTCAGTGCACCAGGGTAACTCCCTCCTATCATGATCCACGGCGCCTTTCCAGGTTGCACCTGGTCACCTCCGGGCATGGGGAGCTTCACGTTCCGCGCAAAATAGTCGATATCCTCGATCGCTTGTTCGATGGTGTGCAATTTCAGGCTTTCGTCACTGAGATCGGGTTTGGGGTTGCTTAAGCCAAAGAAACGATGTTCTAAGATGATGGTCGCGCCGTTCTCTTGTTGGGCGAGTATGCCATTGATGGTGGTGTTAGTGAGGTAGCCGACATATCCTTTAAGGGCAAGTACAGTGAGCAAGGGCAAAAGTCCTTGGCGTGTAAGTTCGTGTACCTTGTGCGTTAGACTCGCCAGGAGTCATGAATATGATTGGACCACCTGCGACATTGTTCAGCACAGAGACGGCGACACCAAACTCGAACGCAATCACTGACCAGGCTTGTAGAATTCCCAGGTATGCCAGAAACGTTGTTTGAATGTCCCGAGCTCGGGGTTCTTATGGTCGATGAGTTGGTCGAAGATGTAAGTGGTGTTGTATGGTGGCAACTCGTCGCCGTTTCGGCTGACGACTGGGGCTGCAGGAATAGGTGCGCGGGGTATGGCGGGCGGTGGCCTAAAATTGGCATGAGGACGACCGTCGGGGAGGATGGCATGGGTAAGTGACACAAAGCATCCCGCTAAGACAGCGAGCCGTAGGAGGGTGAGGGGAGCCATCACTCGGCTTGTAGCATTACATTCCGTTTGGTACGCCTTTTATCCTCTTCCATAGCCAGATGGAGGAGGAGGGTGGCCCTGTTTCTTACGTACGGATGGTCGGCATGCGCTACAGCAGTTATCTACCAGAAGATCAACGCGAAAAGAAGGTTAGTACATGTGCGACCGACGATGCGAAGTGATGGACTTACAGTGTTTATAATGGTCCATGTCGACGAATACTATAAAGTGAAGTGATCTGATGGTGCGTTCATGGGTGGAACCCTGTTAGGGTATTGCCGCATGCTGGTCCACGCGGAAGCCCAGAGTACGAGAGTTCACGGCTCGGACTCAGTGCTAGAGAGTAGCATGTGGTGTACCATGTAGACGCTTCAAACCTACGTGTAAGAATTCAGAGCATCCATTCAACATGCTCCGATTACTGGCAGTCACCGAGAGGTCAGGCTGAAAAGGGCCAGAGACTGGGTCAACCAAGAGTTCGTTTGAAAGGAGTGGTTTCCTTAATTGTGTCTTATACATCGTCCGTTTTGTCAATGACAATGCGAAAGAGGTGAATGTAGCGGAAGGGGGTCGTTATTGGGGACATAGAGCGTCCTTCATGGCTTCAATGTCATGAGCTGTACTGTGGAACTGAACTGAACCCAAGCATCTAGAAACCTACGAGCCGCTGAGCAAGCTGCCACTCATGCCCACAAGGAGGGAAAGCGTTCCAGAAATCCCTGAAGATCAAAAAGAGGAACCGCAGCGTCCGCAGGTATTACAAATTCGTACATTTACTGATCATCCTCTTCGTCTCCATCCTCACCGAAGAATGGATCAACTTCCTCAGGCGTTGGTTCCCGTCGTTGGGACTTGGGAGCTGGATCCGTTTTCGTGGGTTTCGCAGATGGTTGCTTGTGCCTAGTTGTACCCTTCTCTTCAAGGCTCATCTCTGGATCCGGTGGTATTTCACCGTTTGACATGCAATCCCTTATCCAGCTCCGTAACTCCTCCCGCGCTGCCTCAGTGCTAGCAGAAGATGGTATAGCGGCCTCTCCTTGTCTGACTTCAGGCGGAAACAAAGAAACATATTTCTTTGTTTTGGGATAATGCTAAAAAGGAAACGATTAGGACAGTCTTCGTAGTGGTAATGAAGCTCATACCAAGATGTAGTTCAGGTCAACCCGTAGGTCCTGAAGGCGTCGCTCCAGCACTTCTTTTGAATCGTCACCAAAATTGCCAGAAGAGAGCTTGCGTTTGGTCTGCAGTAGTTTTCGGGTGACTTTCTGTTTTTCTTCAATCCAGAGTCAACTGGCCGACCACATTTTCTACAAGATAGGACTCACCGAAAAACTTCACCATATGATACTTAGATGTAGGGCGCGCTCCTTCCTTGCAAGCTCAGCCTGGGCTAAATCGGCTTCCAGAGATTTGAGCCTTCGCTCAGTTTCAACACGAACATTGGCTGCTAGTTTGTCCTAACCTAAAATCATCAGAGGTACTCACATCCAATACATAACTCCAAGTCACCTTCGCGAGTAAACGACGGGTCTGCCTCAGAGCAGCTTTTATCTTCTGGACTCCGGGGGTGGAACTGGAGTCTTCTCCTTGTCGCTGAAATTTATGTTTTGAGGTACTCGGCTTTGACGACGAGGAATCGTCTCGTCGTTTCTGCCTTGAAGTGCGAACTGGTCCCATGATGATAGTTGGTTGTTGAATGAGATCACGGGCGCTTAAGGTAATCAGTGGCTGTCCTCGCGACATGATAATTTCGCGCGGAGTCCTTCGGAGTCGCGTCCCATTTACCTGGTCCTCTTCAACGAACTGAAAGTTGATGATCAAAGATATCCCAGGCCACACTATGCACTTCCCTCCCGCGTGGTACTCAAATCGATGTTTATTTTTGACGTCTGCCAAAAAGCCACCACAAAGCCACCGTATTGAAAGCAAAATTGAAATTGGTATACAATTGCACAGGCAGTTCTTCTTCACTACTAAACAATATTTGGCAACTATGGGCGCATGGTGTCCTCATGATCTGTTTGTACGCGTTAGCTCCGGTTTCGAACCTTTGAATCAACGCCTACCTTTGTACGCGAACAAGTCTCCCTTTGACCTGGGTGACCCGCACCCTTCGAGCGATAAACACGACACCGATATCTTCGTCCTCATCCGAATCGCACTGTGTCTTGGTAATGTCTTCGTCAGACAAGCTGGAGTTGGAACTAGCAGGTGATGTAGATGAAACCCATGATTGCTGAATCTAGATGGACTGAGCTCATGTCCTCGTCGAACACGATGGTTAATTTGCTTACCTTATGTGTGTCTTGATCCTCTTGGGAGGTAATACAGACTGATGATTTCATTGCGACAGTCGACATTGGCTCGAGTCCGGTCGAGGGAACGATCTGAGGCGTTGAGATTGGACTACCTCTGGTCTTATGACGGTGGTAGATAAACAGGTATTGTGGCCAAAATGGCTGCGGCTCCTTTTTGAGGCCACAAAGATGCTAACGTTGCCACTGCAATTCCAGTCCGATCCCAGATAATTGTGGACTGTGGACTCGGAGACAATGAACATGTGGCCCCTTTGACTAGCCTTGCCCTCTATCAGGCTTTGTATATAAGGTGTCTATGTTGAAGATGATTTATCCCCAGCCCTCTCAGTTACTTCGACATGTCCTCAGCCATCACTTTCAACGAACCCATGATTTCTCCCAAAGATCGGGTAGGTGGCAGTATTTGGGTTGTCACCGTCGTTGATTAACATATCATTTCATAGGTTGCTCCGTCGAAATTGAGCATCGAGGCTCTGCTCATTGCTGAACCCATGGATGCCTCGCCACCCCCCAACACCCCCGCAACCGCAGCCCTTGAGGAATATGGACAGGAAAGCATGCTTCAAGCCCGTCGCTTTCTCATGTTCAAACCAAGGGTGAGTAGCGTAGCTTTATACGCGTCGTCACCCAGGTGTACAAGGCACTTTTGCTTCATATGCTGATGCACGTCACTTCCAGGAGTTTTTGCCTGCTTTGAAGATTTGTACGGGCATGTTCTTGCCTGACGACCAGCCGATCATGGCGGCCCCTCCAAACTCTCCAACGACTAGCCATCGTGCTAAGTTTGAGGATGAGGAAGAGATGGCGCTTCTTCCTTGGGCAGTTGCACTCAAAGCCAGTGGTCTCGACGGTGGCGAAGAAGTCTTCCATACAGATTATCCCAACTCTAGCAATCTACGCAATCCGTCGCAGGTTCTCTCACCAGCTAATTCCGTCTTCACCGACGATGGTAGCTCCACTGGCTCTGGTGACGAAGCTACTGGCGGATGCTAGATGTCCTATTAACAGTGATAACCCTTCGGGGACGACCCGCCACGTATCAAACTCTTTTTCATCTTACACTGTATCATCAGCCCGCTACCTTCTCACCATTCTTTCTTCCTTCTAGTTATTTCCTTTATACAGAGTGCCACTCAGCCTTTTGAGCGCTCACTTACTTCTTGATTCGCTAAACTCCGCCTTAAAGTAGGTTCGGGAGATCCCAATTCACTATATGTACATCTGTCTACCAATACACATGACAGTCATAACTTCAGCGATATCAACGACACTGCTCCGAAGTTTCAGCTGTCCCGTGCGGCAGCGCGTACCCTGAGTGGCAACTGCGCGCCCTTCTTTTCCTCGCCCTCGATAGCAGGGACCACAACAAGGCAAGGGTACCGTTTAACGCTTTTAGCTTCGGGAGTAAGCTCAAATTCGAAGTTGCTGATGAATTCAATGAGGAACGCATGTAGCTCAAAAACCCTATAATCCAAGGGTCAGTGAACAGCGCTGAGAATTAATACATCATTAAGTCCTTACGCAAACCTCCAGCCGATACAAGAGCGTACGCCGGCGGAGAATGACAATCTGCAGGATCCCAGTCAGAAACACTACCACGATTCTTGCTTGCATACGCACAGATTACCGTACACCCCGACGGTAGTAGACTTCTTCTCGTTGGAGTTTATGAGCCATCGTTCTGGATTGAAGTCATCTGCGTCTTCGCCGAAAACGTGCTTGTTCCTTTAAAAGGAGTCATTCAGGTCCATCAACGAGGGACGTTTATTAACCAACTTACGCGTTGTAACCAATCATAGATGTCATAACTATAAGCCCTTTCGGGACAGGTAGCTCCGTCAGTATTTTACCGTCGCTGGTCTCAAGGGGAGTTGAGAGCGGGAGGACATCATCTCGACCGGCTTGTCTGAATGTGTGAAGGACAGCTGGATGGAGTCGCAAGCCCTCCTATTCAACTTGAGCGCCAGCCATCCTGAGGCAATGAACTATTGTTTACCTTAATCACAGCCGTGGTGTAAGGCATGTTATCGAAATCGGATACCTCGAAGTGGGCGCGTCCTTGGTTACGAATATTGGCCTCGGCGTTCCTTATTTCCCGACGAAGCCTATGTTGCATTTCAGGATGTTCGCTTAGCTCGAGTAATATCCAGCTTAGGCTATTCGCCGTAGTCTCGTGTCCCGCCAGCATAATTGTCCTATAGATAGCGTGAAAACCAAGTTAAGGTGACACAACTCTGAGTCATAATCACCTCATTTGCGCAAGCATTTCGGTGTCAGTCATCTTCGCTTTCTCATCCTCTGAAGCATTGGAACGCACTGAACGGTATTGTGAACGCAGAGTTGACAGCTACGACTGATTCTGTGCACTCACCGAGCAAGCTCATGATGTCCTTGCTTCCCCTACCTTGCAGGAGTTCCTCGGTCTTCGACTCTACCAACGACTTGGCTACGTTATTACCGACTCGCTCTGTTTCTCGCGCATGATCGAGCTGCTTGCTGCTCCGTTGCCAGAGATCGCGCAACCAGGAGGGAAGACGTCCCCAAGCACTAATAGTGAAAAGGAATGCATGGCTGGGCGAACCAAAAGTCGCCGCCCTGTTTTCGTTCAGTGAAGTGTACCGGTAGAATTCGGTGGGTGACTCACAACAAACCATTGTATGCCTTCGCTAAGTCATTCTCTTCGTTGTCGATTGCGCCGAACTGGTAGTCAAACGCGGCTATATGGAACACTAGGTTGAGAGGACGACAGTGGGTTCGGACAGTTCGGGTATTCACCTTCTCCAATGGCATCCAGAGCCGCGCGGGATAACCAATAGGGCATATTCAACGTTGTTGAGCCTTCCGGAATACCCGACAGTTTGTCCTTCCATTTCTCGCTGAGCTATTTTAAAGTTCAATGTTCATATGTGCACCCGGATGTTGACCACCACCGACCTTGTTAGCACACGCGAAGAATATAGGTAAGAATGCGCGGGATTCTGGAAACCCAAAACCTGGAAGCATTATTTTCCTTTGCCGCTTATGTACGTCCGCTAGAGGTGTGTCCATTAGTGAAGCCTCTCTGATAAAGAAAGTAATAGCCCACCCTCTGCCCACGTTAAGCCTTGTCCAGTAATGATCCGACTGAGCTCCCGACGCTCTGGGACTTTGGGCCAGTGGTACCCAGATGTCTGATAGATGTATTGCAGGGCCTTTGGGTCGGAGACGAGCAAACGATCCTCCTGCACCAAACATCATGAATTACTGCAGGGTCAAGAGCGATAGTCTTACGCACCCCCATGAATCCTTTGATTCGGACCACGTCACCATAACTCCTTTGCCACTTGAGATCTACCTGATGACTGAATCAGTGACCAGCAACCTAAACGCCATAGACTTTAATCGATTAATCACCGTGCCAGCTTCACTTTGGAACAACTCCGGCAAGTTTCCTGCATTCAATCTTGAGTATGTAATTGACATTAGATGAGAACATTGATGCTCACCTAACAAGAAGGATCCAACTGGAGGCCCACGAATATGAGTAAGAGATATACGTGAAAAACGTCGATATAGTAAATAGACCACTGCTGTGAGCGAGCATGAAAGTAAGGTGATACCAAGAACGGCCATCTTGACGGGGGATTTTATTCTCAACCTTGCCCTCCTTTATCGAACTTGTACCCACTATAAATACATGCGTAGCGGGTGTGATTATCCCGCTACATCCAGCCGGGTGATTACTCCATGGGAAAACAAGCTGCCAGGAAGCGAGCTTCTGGTGTGTCCCGGTGGGCCCACCCAATGGTCAGGTGGGAAGAGGACTCTGAATGTACCCTTGAGGCCTGGGCGTCGTAAGCAGCAGTGAGTAACATTTGGGCCGATCGCGGAAGCAACTAGCCAACAACAACCAACAATCAATAGGCAAGCCTACACAAGAACTCTAGAAAAACCTGCGGGTTCGCATCGTCTCTCGTCCCTCTCGGCCTTATGACAAGCGCTACGAGTGCCTGCTATTCAAAACGTAAACTTGGGTGTCCCTGTCAAAGTAGTGCAACGCATCACCAACGCCTTAGCAAGTCGGATTCATTCCAAGGGGTCAACCCGACTTTTAGTGTGATTCGACTGAGAGCTTTTTGAAAAGAGAACACAAGTTGAGCGGATGAGACAGGGCCCTGATGGAAGGTTCACACAGTCTTCTCAGCTATCTCACGGTCACAAACCTCAACTAATAAATGGTGATCGTTACACATTACTATTGTTCCCACAGTTCTTAAAAAAGCACCTATGGTGCAACACACCTAGTCACCGCTACTTCGTAACAACCGAAATAGGAAGGTCAAAATTGCCCCCTTTTCTTATCCCTCTGTGGAAAACACTCTAACTGATGAGAGGAACAAAACCCCAAGACCGTTTGTTGAATTTCTCAAAACTGGCAGAGTTATTTATTTTCACTCGTGTGAGATTGGCCAATGGCAGAGTTTTTCTCGCTCACTTTTGCAAAATCAAGTGAGAGTTGAGTTGTGGAGTTCTCAAGGTCTGGTTATCTTCATTCGACTTCACATTTTAACCTTGTTCTAGTATTCTACACATGTTTCTAGCGAGTTTTCATGTAAAAAAATTTCCAATCCAATTTGGCCACTGTCCAAATTGGTGGTGACTAGGTGTGTTGCACCATAGTTCTTGAAAATGGGATTTCTTTAACTCTCCACAGCATGTATGAGCTTGTGAATCTAATCTATGTTGTTCATGTGAATCATGGATTGGCTATAGTTCAAGGGCTACACCAGAGTAAAGGTGGTAGTGAATGATACATATGAATAGGCTGTATGCAGGATGACATCAAAGGAATGTAAGGTAGAAATGAATGTGGTATTCAATAATGCTAACTATGAGAGTGGATGGGGAACAAACCACAGGGTTGATCAGTCAGAAATGTAATCTGGTGGGTTGCTGCTGAGCTGTGATACCCAAACAGAAGGAACCCTGGTGACGCAAACAAGCGAAGTGTAAGCCCCCCATAAAAGAAGGAGCCAGGGATCATACTGTGCTGAACTGGGAAAGGGGTCAGTAAGCGCCGAAATCATAGTAAAGTGTGTATTGCGAGTGAAGGGCTTTATTGTCAAGTTCTGGAAGTAGCACACAGCTGCTGCAAGTATTTACCCACTAGTGCATACCACTTTCAAAAAATTAGCTAGTCTACCTCACCTGCTACGAATATTTTGCTCAAGCATCTCCGTTTCGGCACTCAGCCAGGATTCCGGTCACGCAGTCACATTTGTGACCCGAGGTCAAAAAAGTGTCGGAAACATGAAAAAATGACATTGGAGACGTGCGGAAGGGATACAGAACACAACATGAGATATCAGACATGTAGAGGACATACATATAGCCATGTACATATGAACCAGTACTAAAAAATGGCCATTTCAAGCCCTTGCACCAGCTGCTGCAGCCTGGGATCGTGTGACATGTTGATTTGCAGCGGGTGGGGCAGCAGATGTGCCGGGAATGAGGTTCTGAGTGTCGGGAGGGCCCATGACACCGGTAGGAACAGTCCTGTGATGGGTGGGTTGTGGTTCTACAGGATGACTTGGCTGCGAGGTGGAGGGGATGGAATCATTGTGTGGGACAGTCCCAGCAATGGTGGGAAGGCGTGTCTGAGCAGCGCAATACTTCGGGAGGGCTGCAGTGATGGCAGGAGTATTTCCGAGATGTGGTGTGGGTGGGGGAAGGTGGAGGGGTGGCTCCGGAGGTTGTGCAAGGCGATGAGGGCAGGGACGAGGGCGGGGCTGTGGTTCTGCCTCTGTGTGAGTTGCTGGGATGATGGGGTCTGGCACAGGTCCAGTTTCTCGTGCTGACCCTTCATCCGGATTTGAAATGTCACCGAAATCCTCGCCCGCAGATTCTGTATGTGTTGATCAAGGAGCATTTATGTCTGAATCAAGAGAATGTGTTACTCACCAGTGTCTGCAACTTGACGACGACGACGTGGTTGCTTTGGCCCTAGTCGGTTCTCTGCTGCACGGAATCCAGTCATTGCCAAACCCAGTACCTTGTCCATGGCTTTCTGTGACCTTTCCTGCTCTTTCTTTGCGGCCTGTTCATCTCGCTGACGTTCTCTCTCTCGCTGACGATCTACCTTTTCCTGTTCCCGAAGCATCGGCTGTTGTCCGTGTTGCTGGAGTGCATTGAGATGTTCTTTGGCAGTAAGTTCACGGGCACCAGACGTGTCCAGTGTCTGTTTTGGTTTTCCCACCCGCCCAAAGGCTGCCTGACGGAGTTTGTCATTCTTGAGCTTTGTGAAGTGGAGTCGGAGTCGTTGTGTTTGAATCTCGTTGATAAGTGTCTCCGTGATTGAACGAAACTCGAGGTTTTGGGAGATGAACATCTCCTTCGACGCAGAGGGGGGGATTAGTGGTGGAGTACCAAGAAACATTGCAGTGGGGGTCTGGGTAGCACAGTGTTGGTGATTTGGCCCAGCGTCGATTTGAGGTTGAAGTTCGGGTGAAAGTGCTGATGGAGTGTCAACATGAACAATTGAGCCATGCGTGAGTTCAGGGGGGTTTAGGAGAGGGTCTGATTGAGTTATTGTATTTTCTGCTGGGCCAAATTTTTCGCGTGGAATAGCATTGCGGTCGATAGGGTGGATACCAGTAACTTCAAAGGCCTTGCAGATTGTACTTTGCTTGAGTGCAATGTCCCTTGCGCTACTGTATACCACAGCTACTGTATGTTTTGTTACTTTGCCGGCTAACTTCACCGCCTTTCGCCATGCCTTTTGCAGCGGTGAGAAAATTAGAACGTCACAGAATTGAAGTGCATGTGTCATATGGGATGGTAGGCAAATGATTATGATATTGTGGTCGCGTGCAAATGAGCAGAATTTGTGCGTACAATGGCTGTTGTGTCCATCAAGAATTAGAAGTCGGTATTCCTTGGGATCATTGAGGTATTTCCTTGTTTCGGGCTCGAAGGTCTTCTCCATCCACTTGGATCCAAGCTCCTGGTTGGTCCACCCATTGGGCGACACTGCAATCCTATATATTTATTAATAGCTGGACAAATCTTGAATCATGAACTACTCACGCAGCGTTGCAAGGATTCTCTCGTCCCCACTCCAAATTGATCCGCGCACCAAGAAATATGAGCATTGGTCGCATTGCTACTCCAGCAGCCAAGAAACACTCAATCGTTGTTACCATTTCCCGAGCACCATCATTGATATCATACAACGTCTTCTGATCCCGGTCAACTAGTGCCCTTCTGCGAGCATTATCCCCCAACACTAATCCTTTCTCATCCATATTCCAGATGTTCTCAGGACGGATAGCATATTTGGCAATGACTTCTTCTAAAATGTCGAAATACTTATCAACATTAGCGCGGTTAAGAGATCTTGCCCGACATGCTTCTAATGTTGTAGTAAGCTTCACCTATTGAACAAATATAGTCAGTTTAAATGTAGATAATAAATTAGATGTACAACCTTAATCTCTGGGTGACGCGCAACGAAGCGGGATGGCCAATTCTCGCCAACAGGCTTGCCTAAAGCCCCTGAAGCAAAATCACGCAGACTGGATAGGGTCATTGGCACTCCCCGCCGCCCTAGTGTTCTGATCCAGTCCACCAAAATATCCTCCTGTTCTGGTGTGAAGTGCTTCTGATGGTCGTGTGCGTCCTTCTTTGGCTTCGCTCCATGCCATCGACCAGTAAGTGTAAGGGCAACCTCAAGATGGCCGCACAGCGCAAGCCTAGCAGAGGGAGAATCCAAAGAGATGAATAAGACTAACTACAATACATGAGAGAGCTGCTCACCTAGCAGAGGGAGAATCCAAAGAGAACAGGATAAGGATTCTCCATGCTAGGAAGCGAAGTATATACTGTAGTAGCGTGGGAGGAATGAAGGGTAACTGTACAGTACACCACCCACAGGTCCGAACGGATATCACAAGGTACGAGGGGGCATGTGATAATGAAGTGGAAGGGGAATGCACAGGAGTCGTGCCAGCGACCTGGGGAAGTGGGGACAAGGAATGACAAAGTGGGAAAGGAGAGTGGAGGTAGCCCGGACGAGTCCCAAAGTGTATAGACGAGTCCAAGCGTATCCGAGGCGTCCGAGCGAGTCCGAGGCGAGTCCGAAGTGCGGGAAGGCTTTGGAGTCACCGAACGGGGCTCGGATGCGAAGGGAGTGAACAGAAGGGAAGCGGAAAGGTAAGGGGGCGAGAGGGAAGGAAAGGGAATAAAGGGAATGTAGATAAAAGTCCATGGGATGAAGGAAGGGAGAAAGGAAACGAGGAGGAAGGGAGAGGGACAGGGGAATAGGAGAAAATAGGAGTGTCCCCTTACAGTAAGAGTTGACCTAGGCACACCAAAGTCTTTTGCTGCTGTCCGGAGTGAATACTTGGGATTCCCATGGTTATCTAAGCCTGATTCTTTGACAGCGGTCAAGGCCTTTTGCAGTAAGCTTTCCCGAGATTCAGGTTCATCGTTGTCAGATTCCGTACCACTTGCATCCGAAGAAGAGGGTTCCACATCTGGGGACTCTGAAATGATGGAACCCCCAGTGTCTGATTCTGATGGAGATGATGGCGGGTTTATGGTGCTCTCAGGCAGCCCATAGAATGAGCTAT